TATGGGAAGTATTATTTCTGTTATCCGATCCCCGTATTGTCCCTTTCGTTGCTCATTCCATTTGTAGCATATTGTCAAAAACAAATTAAAATATTTAAAGTGTTTAATTAATAACTATACAGACAGCATACCTTTGTATTTCTATCAGTTTTGGGAAAAGCCTCATTATTTTCACTTTAAAGAACTACCGAAGCTAGCAATAAAATATGAAACCTATGACAACACTATGGAACTTCAGGAGCTGAAGAAGGTGGAGGCTGGGATCGCCGGGTCACATTATTATACTTTGAGCGGCGCCGAAATCAGGCAAAACTTTGCCGCACTCCACTCCGCTGGCACTCCTCTGAGCCCCCTTGCACTCCTTAAACCCCGCCTGTCATAACAACAGGGCAGGATGGTCGACGGAAAACTGAAAACTGGAGGCGGCCGAAGGAGGGCAACAGGCACATTCCAGGCACTGCTCTTTTCCACTCCTCGCCGACACCCTAGGATCCTCCCTTTGGGATTCATTTTCGTTTCATTCATTTATTCGTCGCTAGCTGCTTTTCATTCATTTTGAACTTTCGACGATTTAATTCGGCTTTCGAGCTGCTTTTCCTTCTTTTCCGTCTCTGTTTCAGTTTTCCCCATTCTGGGTCTGGCGAACGCCTTTGGCCAGGCGACAACAAAAAGGTTGAAGGGGAAACAGTACTACTATATTACGGAAAGAATGCAATTGAGATACACTCGCAGAAATCAGAACAATCTGGATGAACTCTCTCGATCTGGGGGAATTTCAAAGCTAATGAAAGTTCAGTTAAGCTTTTCAATCTAGTAGAACTTCTAAAATAAAATGTAACAATTTCAGATTTTTATAGATTTAGATTTACACACCTAGAGAAAGAGCATTTTCTAATAAACTCTCATATATAACAACCAAGTTTATAAGCAGTTCTCAACATCTTTAATAATCTTAGTTCTTTGAGAATTTAAAAAATATTTCTATGTTTGGTCTGCGAACAGTTCCAGGAATTCGTTTTTATAAACATAAGTTTTACTGTTTTTCGTGGAAATAAACCAAAGTTTAGCAGCTAAGTCATAAATAAGTTATGTGCAATTACTTCTACAATAGTTATAGTTTTAACATTTTCAATTTAACAATTTAACTGCTCGAAATGTGAATTATTTTGCAGGACAAAAGCCGCTTTATATTCGATGTACCTCGATGGCAAAAATAAATTTCAGTCCCTGAACCCTTGGCATAAATTCCACGTCTGCATTTCGGTCTTTGTGAGAAGTTTTCTTTCTGTTTCCCCTTTTTTCTTGTTGACCCCACCTGGTCGCCTGCCACGATTGCCATCTCCACTGCTCATTTGCATTTTTAATGAAACCATATAAAGGCGAGAAATCGGAGGTGGAGGCCAAGACTGGACTGCAGTGTGTGCGGAGAAGCTGCAAATTATGAGCCAAAGGCAAAGGTCCCCCCTTTGCTTGCCACATTACTTTCAGCACCCGGCCACATACATGCATTACTAGCTTGGCAAATAAATCCGACCATATCCCTGGCATATCCGGATCCGGATCCGGATCCGGATCGAAACTGTCAACAGTTTGTCGCTTATCGCGGCTTCGAAATTTTCTCTCTGTAACCAATAAATGTTTCAACATCATTTACATTTCGGTGGCAGTCTTATCCTCGGAGCATTGGAAATGGAATTTTCCCAGGGTGGCGACTTCAATCATTTCGGTCCTGGGGATGCCTGACCTCAGGCATTCAGTTTGGTTTTCGACCAACTCCGACGAATGCGTTCCGGGCAAACAACACTCGCAGATTTATGTGACCGCAAAACTTTGCTTCACGGCATAAATTAATGTTTAATTGATGAATTTATATGAGGAGGGCAAGATGTTCTGGACAGCATTACATTGGACAGCATTCCATCAATGTGCTGACCAGTTGACGAAGAGCTGCCTCTCTTTAAAGCCTTTTGTTGGTTTCACGAGAAGATCTTAATACATATGTATTAACTTTTTTAACTTTTTTTGAATACATTTAGGCAGCGCTAAAAGTTTTAGTATACATTATTTATTTGCCGAAGCTTGTTAGTTTTCTGGCAATAATAGCTTAAAGATATATTGGATTAGGTATTTTGATTTTTTTAAATAATCTTAGACCCGCGAACGAATTTCAAATAAACTGCTTGTTCGTTGTAAACTGCTTTTCCATTTCAGTAAGCAGTGTGATTTGAAGTTTCGTGTATTACCGCTAGGTGACGCACTTCTGCACGTCTAAACGGCCTTTACGATACGTAAGGTGTAATGTAGGCAGATACCTTCATGTATTCTACAAAAAGGAAACATTCAATGTATGTATGTATGTATCTATTTTTACATGTATTTTTATTTAAATTTCATAAAGTGAAGAATCTATACCGCATATAAATGCACTTTAGCGTAACAGGAATATAAAATTAAATATAACCAAACCTCATTACATGTTTCAGGTTTACATAAAAATGAATGCATTAATTGCATTGACAAAACCTTGCTGTGTAAAATTATTCAAAGTTATAGCTAGGAGTAGTTTTCTAGCAAGTAGGGTGCTTTGTCTGTCAGTGTATCGGCTTGTTTGCCTACCGATCTGCTCTTCCACAGTATGTAGCTTCAAATCTTCATAAAGAGTCATTCCACTGATGTACCAGGGTAAGTCTTTTATACTTCTTACCATAATGTTCTGAAACACTTGAATCCGTTTATAGGGAAATTAAATTTTATGGACAAAAGATTGATTAAAATTACATTTAATTACTCAAACTTGATTCCTGAAACTTGTTCTCCAATTTTCAAAGCTCTATCTGTAAAATATGCCAACAATTTTTTGTTACAACCATGGCCAAGGCTACCTATGCATGGGTAAGAAGTGCATTTAGTAGCTTTTTACATATTATTATTTTTACATCTAAAAGAAATTGGTTTTCATTATTAGAATTTTATAATTTTATTAATTTTCCTCTACAACATTGTCGTTTTTATTTTTAATAATTTAGTAAGTCCGAATCGATTTTGCAGTCAGTTGGTCATCTCCATTACCACCACTTGCTGCTCTTGTCCTCCCACTTGCTGCTGGTGTCCTGCTTTACATCAACGTAGCTGGTGGCATGTCCATGGCCATGTCCGTACTCATGTCCATGTCCATGTCCGTGGCTGTGCTCGTAGTGGTCAGCGTGTCCAACATGCTTGACAGTTGCCTGGAATCCGTTGTGGGAATCAGCGGTGTACTCGACGATCCTGGTGCGTCCATCGGCCTCCTTCATGGTGTAGCCTCCCTTGACCTTGTCGCCATCCCTGGTCTCCCACTGCTGTTTGATGTCGCCGGTCTTGGTGTCCTTTACACCATAGTCGAACTCGTATTTGGGGTGGTGTTTGGCCTCCTCGTGATGATTCCACTGGTGGTGACTGTCATGAGACGCAACTTGCGCCCACTGTTGGTGGGGGTGTTCCTGGATTGGCGCCCAAGAGTGGGCTTTCGGAGCCTCAGCCCATTGGTGGTGTTCCTGGTGGTGATCCTGCCACTTTTTGGGAGTCTCGTGATGTGTCTGAATACTGTATCCCACACCGTGTCCTTGTCCATGGGGAATGTAGCTAGCGGCAGCGACACCCAAAAGAGCACAGCAGAGGATTGTAAGTTTCTGGGCCATTTTCGTTGGTTTCTGATCAACTTGCTTGGCCTAAATTAGAATTGAAACTGTGATAATCAGTGAACAACGCCCAACGCTTTTATACTTAACCCATTCTACTGATTTCGAGGTTAATTGGCTTGAAAAGGAAAGAGACCGTAAAATGGGTACGAAAAATACTTCATATTTTTGTTAAACTTTTCGTATTTCCATTCGTATTCATAATCTGGTTTGTCCGAGTATATATTCAATTTAAATGTTTCTTAAAACATATAGCAATAATATTTCAAATCCGAATTTCTTATTACGTAAAGCAAGTAAAAAAGAAAATTTATTATCTTAAAAAATGTAACCTTTTAACTTTAAAGCCTTTATTTTTTAAATTTAAGTTAAAGGTAGGCAGTATTTAATTTACTCTACGAGAAACAATACATTACATAATAATATTTAATAATGGCAACTCAGGAATACTCTTGTTACTCAAAAATAATATTAGAAATAAGTAGAAATGGTTTTGTAAGTGACCTAAACTTTGGTTTTTTAAAACTTTCGTGAGTGCTATATCTTATTCTATTTACTTATTTAAACGATTATATTGGATAAATATGGTCGATTTACTAGTCAAATCTATTGCTAGATTTCCAGAGGACATAACATAAGGTAAGTTCTCACCTTGTGAAAAAAATCGATTTTGTTCGTATAGATAAATGTTTCGAAAATGTGCTCAAATTTCAGATCAAAATCTGAAAAATTACAAATTTTACAAACCGTTACATATAGCCCTGTGTCAAGCACCGGCCGAGCAAAGCCAAAACTTTAAGCGCGTTTTTTCTTAGAGCCACGTTTTCGGACCTTCGGAAGTGACTGGAGGCGCTAAAATAAACCAATCTTTGCCAAATTTTTTTTTAAATGATTCTTAGGGTTTATTCTAAGAAATAAACTACGATAAGCCAAAAATATTAAAAAATTGTTTATTATAAAAAATAATTTGTGAAGAAATAAATTGAAATTTTTTTCGAATCTTATAACTTTTGATAAGTTATGTATATAAATGAAATAATTAATTATTTCTGATCACGGGTTCCGGTTTCGTCGACGTACCGCCATTAATGCGCCCGTTCCCCCACCCCCTTTTTTTATTTAAATTGTATTCTATTCTATTAATACTAAAAAAAAATTTTAGGAAGAGTTCCCTTTTTTGGGTCTACAAGGTGAGAACAGTCAGTATCAAGATCAAGACCTTCCTTCTACCCAAACCTTTCTAACTGTTCAACCAACTTATGCCCATAAAATGAAAGAACGAAAGGGTTCTTTAATATTTCAACCTTGAGATAAGTCAAGTTTTTATTCGGTTTTTAAAGTTTCTAGTCCAGATATTAGGTCATTCGGATTAATATCCACATTTTGATAATTCGATGTGATCATATACAGTTTCTCTAGCATTTTATCGGCCTCAGTCGTGTTTATGGCAAACACTTGGATCATTCCCGTCTTATGAACTCGAGCTGCCACTCCAGGCAGTTCCTTATCGACGTAATAGACGTAGTGCATCTTAGTAATGGGCTTGGGAGAAAGGACGTGAATAGCACTAAAGTCTGGCAGAGAAATTTGCCAAGGATAGTAGGCACAAGATGAGAGACGTAGATGCCAGAGCTTGTGGGAGGCTTCGGCTTTAAAGTTCATCCTGCCAATAAGGTGGGCAACCAGATCCTTTTGGGTTTCGGCCAACATGTTTTCACTTCTTCCGTTGATGATCATCAAAGTTCCATTGGACCACACCCAGGCCACCTGGGTATCCTCATATTCTATTTGAATCACATCTTTATACCTGTTATAAGATGCGTTATGAAGGGTCTTTGCAGCAACCTTAAGATGCAAGTTTCGGTTTAAGTTTAGGGTGCAAAACCCTTTGCAGAACTTAAACTCGATGTGCAAGAGCAAGGGCTCGACTTTGCCGTTGTCGGGACGTCTTTTGATACTGATCTTCTGGAGACACTTGTCCAGATAGCCTGATAAGGGTGGAAGCATTAAGGATCTCTTTAAATTCTCTTCCGACTGGAACCCGTATTGCTGGTACCACTTTGAGCGGAGCCTCTTGGCAAATGGATCTCTGTATTCCGTCATGTTCTGGTCAATGATATCTTCAAAGTCCTCAAGGCGAACTCTAAAGGAACTCTGCCATCCACTTTCCATGGATGCTGTGTTGCCTTCGCCTGGTCTCCTCGGTTTCATTTGCTCCTTGGTGATCTCGCTCTCGAAATCGATGAGTTCCGGTTCTGTAGATGGTTTTGGATGATTTGACCTTTCCTCATTGATGATGGATTGCAGTTGCATCGAAATAGTTTTGCTACATTGCTGAAGCCAATCCTGGACTTCTGCCTCATCTGCCGGCTTAGGGGATAATGGTGCTATATCTTGAACATCGAGAATAATGGGCTTTTTTGGTCTTTGTTCAGTCAGTTGAAGGTTTTCCAGTGGCCCTTCAATGTCTTGGAAAACCGCACTGGCCTCGTCGGGCTCAGGGTCATCGTGCGAAGGTTTCCTCAACTGCGTCTCCACCACATCAGATTTACGGGGTAATAATTCTATCACGGGTACCTCCTTTCTCACATCCACTACATATTTGCCAGTAAGACTCTTGGGCTTTAATAAGTCGAAAAGAACATCCCGATTTTTCTCATAGTCCATAGCTAGGCTCAATAGCTTATCAAACTCTTCTATATCACTCAGAGATACTTGGAGCTCTTCGGATTTTATCCAATCGTTCATGGCCCGCTCTTCTTCTACCCCAATAGTCCTGCTACCGAAGTGCAAATTTGTTCCGTGAAACCTGCGTTGCTCCCTGGTATCTTTGTGATTCTCTTCGTCTACTTCCCAGTTGAGAATGGCATCAACAGGGGAAACTTCTTTTTGCTCAACATTTTTTGAGGGGGATGGATTGAACATTTGAGGTTCCACTGATTTTGGAGGTAGAGTATTGCAGTTTTCCTGCCCTATCATACAACACAAAGGCCACTCAGCTTGCGACGGATGCACCGAACCATCCTTCAAAGCCTTGTAATTTTTTAAAATGTTCTCCGACGAAGGCAGGTCACAATCGTACTCATCCACAAAGCTCTTCTTAATGGGAGATATGGGTCGAAAATTTGGATCCTTCAACCACTCTAGTGGTATTGACGGAAACCCGTCATCGACTGATGGTTTCAGCACTTCCTTTCCATAATATTTGGTGGGCAGACGTCGAGTCTTGACTACCCTAGATGAGGTTGGAGGTGGCATTGGGTCCGCGTGCACTGGCTTAGCGTTCTCTTCTAGTCCAAAGTCCAGTACGACATCGCGAAAGCAAAAATTGCTGGGCAGCGACTTTGAGACCGGAGCACTAAGATGATAATTTACATAGAGGATTACTTTTTGGATTCACTCCAAATGGCTTGAATATCATTGACTCCTCTCAAAGCCTAAAAGCCATCAGCACAAAGAAACTATAAGCTTACAATTTAATAATAGCTCACCTGTACGAAAATTTGCTAAAAGCATTCTCGGGAATTCCTTTGTGCGTTTTCGAGTTTGAGTCCTTGATTTTGGAAATTTGTCTTCCACGATTCGATGCATCCGCTTCGGGTTTCACTTGACGAGGCATTGTGCGAGAATAAAATTACAATAATTTTTCAAATGTCAAATTCTAAGCATGAAAAAGTCCACCAGAGTTGCCACTTCTTTGTTGAGATTTGTCACCTGTCTCCATATAAAAAGCTTTCAGATATAATTGCAGTTATTTTTTCTTAGCAAGCGCCTTTGTTTTTGCTTTTATTTATATAAACAAAATTTATAATCAACAAACGGTACAGCTGATTTGAAGTATTGTGTGTTCATTGGACAATTTAATATAATATTATTTCACCAAGGCTGATAAACAACCCTGATTATCGATTAATTGCGTGATAACAATATAATCACAACATTGCAGTTCTTTGCACTTTGCTTCGATTTATTGTCCTACAACTTAAAAATACAAATTTGTTCGTTTCTATTTACAATGATTGAGTCCGAATCAGTTCTACAGTCAGTTGGTCATTTCCTTTACCACCACTTGCTGCTCTTGTCCTCCCACTTGCTGCTGGTGTCCTGCTTCACATCCACGTAGCTGGTTGCATGTCCATGGCCATGTCCGTACTCATGTCCATGTCCATGTCCGTGGCTGTGCTCGTAGTGGTCAGCGTGTCCAACATGCTTGACAGTTGCCTGGAATCCGTTGTGGGAATCAGCGGTGTACTCGACGATCCTGGTGCGTCCATCGGCCTCCTTCATGGTGTAGCCTCCCTTGACCTTGTCGCCATCCCTGGTCTCCCACTGCTGTTTGATGTCACCGGTCTTGGTGTCCTTTACACCATAGTCGAACTCGTATTTGGGGTGGTGTTTGGGCTCCTCGTGATGATTCCACTGGTGGTGACTGTCATGAGACGCAACTGGCGCCCACTGTTGGTGGTGGTGTTCCTGGATTGGCGCCCATGAGTGGACTTTGGGAGCCTCTGCCCATTGGTGGTGTTCCTGGTGGTGATCATGCCACTTCTTGGGAGCTTCGTGATGTGTCTGGATGCTGTATCCCACACCGTGTCCATGATCGTATCCACCGTGAGGGATGTAACTAGCGGCAGCCACACCAAAAAGAGCACAGCAGAGGATGGTAAGTTTTTGAGCCATTTTCGTTGGTTTCTGATCGACTTGCTTGGCCCAAATCGCTTATGGAACTGTGATAATCAGCAGACAATGGCCAATGCTTTTATACTTCTGGCCATTCTATGGATCGATTAATTACATTTTACCCTCGAGGCTAAATAGGCTAGAAAAAAGTAAGAGTTCCAAAAAATAGGAATGAAAAATGCTTCGAATTTTTGTGCAAATTTTCATTTTTCCTCATTCGTATTCAAAACTTCGGTCTGCTGATTGGCAAATTAAACGTGGCTCGCAAGTCCAAGCTTCGACAGCAGCAACAACTACAACACCAATAAACGGGCGTGAACATCGCTCAACTAGCTCGAACTAGCAAAAAACGCAACGCTTTGCGTTTTTGTTGCTTAGAAATCAATCAACAAGTGTGGCCCGCTTTCAAATTACTTAGCAATAGCCGCCTCGCCTCGCTGAGTTTCTTCGTTTCGCCCCTCTTCCTAGCCGACTTCACTCCGAATGACCTTGAGATGGTTTGAAGGGGGGGTTGGGAAGGGAAGGGTAGAGGCAGAGCTGGGCGGACAGTCTAATCCGTAGGTGCTTCTGGCCAGGGGGTCTGCTGTGGGGCACCCAAAGCTTCCGAAGTGGTGTTAACTCGCTAAAGAGCGGTTAATGTTTTCTAAATATTTATAATTAACAAGGTTAAAGGCTTTTTGGTAGTAAAAAACAATAGCATTAAGGTATTAAAAAGTTAGTTAAACAAAGGTTTTGATAGAAGGCACATCTGTACATTTCAGGGAGTCAACTTCACTTTTGTGTATTTATTAGATGCAGAAATTAAATGACTGAGAGGACAAATCACATATTTGATTTTTTAAGAGTAAATATGACTAAACTTAAAATACTGAAAAAGTATTGGGTAAAGTCCTGAAAGTTTTAAAAAGAAACGAAAGGGAAAACAAATATTCTCCTTAAAAAATTGTGTCCCCTTTTAAAACAGATTGTTACTATTTTTATCATATACAGTTCTAAGTTATATTATTTCTTAAAAAAATGAAGTAAGCTTGCTTATTGGAAGAAATGTACAATACTAATGCCTTAAGCATAGTTTTTAGATAAACATTTCCTTATAATGAAAAGCAAAAATTAACCTCCATCAGTTCAAATTCTGGATGAAAACAACTGCTGGCTGATTAAGCATAGTTTTTAGATAAACTTTTCCTTATAATAAAAAGCAAAAGTTAACCTCCATCAGTTCAAATTCTGGATGAAAACACCTGCTGGCTGATTAAGAAATAAGTTCTTACCTTTGTTTTCCCTTCTCTTTACCCCCCAAACGAACTTACAAAAACCATTTGATTTTGATATAATTAATAATGTTCGGCAGAATTTAATTGTAACGGCTTGGGTTTAATATAAAATGTGCTCGATTTTCTATAGAGCTCAATGGCCGAAACAATAATAATAATAATGAATTAGTGAGGTAATTAACAAGTCAGCTAGCACGAATGGTGAATGGTGTGGCCAAGAGAATGACCACCCGATGGTTTATTGCCCCAACGATTTTGGATGGCTATATAAAGTCTGGGTGGCCCCCTAAGAACCAGCAGACATCATCAAAGTTCCGATTCGAAAGCAACGAAATGAAATCCTTTTGCGGAAGTTTGTTATTTGCCCTTTTGGTCGGAGGAAGTTGGGCGGCTCCGCATGGAGGACATGCCACCAGCTACAGTTCGGTGACCAAGCACGAAGAGCCCATCCACAAGAGCCACGGATATGGATACGATCACGATGTGATCAGTGCCTATGGAGGAAACTACGGTCATGGTTATCCGAGTGTCGGCTATGCCGGCTACGGGTATGGATATGACAAGCACGAATCCCACCACTATCCCAAGTATCAGTTTGACTACGGCGTCAAGGATGCCCACACCGGCGACCAGAAGAGCCAGTGGGAAGTCCGGGATGGCGACAAGGTAAAAGGCAGCTACTCCCTCAAGGAATCCGATGGAACCACTCGAGTGGTCGAATACACTGCCGACGATCACAACGGGTTCAATGCCGTGGTAAAGAAACTGGGCCATGCCCACCATCCTCAGGTTTACCACAAGGGCTACGGACATGGCGATATCTATGGAGCCGACTACGGTTACGGTCACGATGTGGCGCACTACGGCGGATATGGACACGGAGGACACGCCAGTAGCTACGTGAGCGTAAAGCAATTGCACTGATTCAAGGACCTCGATGTGGACTTACGGAAACGATCTGAACCAAAATAATATTTAACAATGCAACACATTTACCTGACTAAAGCAACCATTTTACACATGTAGTCTTAATATATTATTATTGAAATACATAAGCATAAATGCTTAGAGAAAATATCACAATTCAGGGTCTCAATCGTAGGCTCGTTATCACAACTTCAAGTTGAATATTAAGCTAATTGCGGGAACTTAATAATATAAAAGTATAAAAAAGTAGATTAAAATAGTGTAAAACATTGAGTTAAATACTCCGACTCTGTCGTATTGAACATAAGACTCTGGGAAATTTTCCCAAGCTGCACAATTTGTAGCCCCGGCGCTTGTTCGGTCTATAGCACTTGATTTTAATACGGATTACCAGGATTAACTGGCAAAGTGGAGACACGACACATTCGCAGAGCAAATCGCCATTAATTTATGTAAAGTCCAAACGTAATGCTGGCAGGTATAAATTTTATAATGCCATTAGACAGCTGCAGCGAAGCGTCGACGACGACTTTTACTTGCCGCACGGCGGCGCCTGAAACCAAAAGTTGGGCCGCCCAAATCGGGGAGTTTGGGTTGTACGAGTATATCGTTATACATATACTAGTATCGGTGGCAAAACGGGTTTCCGTGCTGTGAGCTCTCCAAGCGGCAAATAATTGTCAATTAGACCGAGCTTAGGAAGCGACAAAGCAGCTGCAATCTGCCATCTGCAGTGTGCAATCTGCAATGTGTTGCTCATCGCAGTTGGTTGCGTCTGGCGGCTTGGATGTTGGCTATTGGATATTGGACGTTGGAAGTGGAACCGGTGAAGCCGGAAAATCTTGTCGCCGGGAAAACGAAACGAATCGAAACCGAGGCTCAGCTTTGTGCCGGTCCTCGTCTTCATCTATAAATACTTTGGCAATGCCGCGCCAACGCTTTAATTACGTTTTTGTCCTTGACATTGAGACCACGGCAGCGGATCGAAGAGGAGCGACAGCAACGCGATTTGTCAGCGTTTTAAAACGCCCAGTGTTCAGTGACGTGATTTCCGCAGAATTAATCGAATTAATTTCTTAAAAGCGACATGTGGTTCTATGTAAGTGTTGAGTTAAATGGCAATAAATTAAATCACAAAATCATTTGCCGTTTTGCTAAGCCACATTTTTTGGCAATTGGAAATCGAGAGCGAAAGTTAAGAAATCCACTTTCACTTTAAGTGAAAGTCTAGCAAGTATACATGCAAATCCACCTCCTTCGCATTGAGAAATCAAAATATTATTTCATGCAAGTTAAATCAAAGTAGTTAATAAAAAAATCTGAATAAATTAAAGTAATGATAGATTTTTCAAAGTCGTTCATATTTTGTTAATTATTAAAAAGTGTAAATATATAATATTATGTATTTATTAACCTTACTCACTAAAATCCTATCCTAGATCATATATTTATTTTAATTCGGAGTGTCAAAGTGAAATTTGTATTATTCATTTTGTTTGCAGAATTATTTAAAGAAATTTTTGATTGTTCCATCTTTTTGTTTTCATATTTTTCAAATTCCAAAGAGTAATCCTTTTTTAATTGTATAACTTATTCTCCATAACATGTTCCGCAGACTAAGTCATGTTTTATACAGTCAGTGGTTCTTATAAATTATGTTATTTAAGACTGTGCAGTGTTAAGCCAGAAAAGGGAATCAAAATAATTTTGTTTCCCTTTGTAGAATGTATTAAATTATTTATTTACGGATTTGAAAGTAACAGGCAAAAAGTTAACAAATTCAAATTAAGATCCTTTGCATCTTGGCAATGGCTAGTGGTTGGCTGAGATTTGCTAATACACATTTTACTTAGCTATGACAACTATGCCGAAACGAATTTCGATTCATTTGTTGAGCCACATTTCTGCTGGCATGCCATTCGTGCCATTCTTGACAAATCTCGCCGGCAGCGATATTGAATGGCCATCGTCTCTGTGCTAATTAAACCAACTCGTCGGAGCCAAAGCGAACCTCCCCAAAGCAGCGACACATGCCAATCGAGGCGAGGCTAGGCCGATCTCGCAACTTGCAACTAGAAACTTGCAACTCGCAGCCGAAAATCGAAAATCGAAAATGTCCAAAAAATGTTTTGCAATTTGCAAAGAAACAAATGCGAGGCGATTGCAATTGGGAAAATTGAATTGTACATGCGGCTGGAGTGCGAGCTGTGAGTTGTGAGATGTGAGTTCGGGTGCCCGCCATCCTGCCAGACCCGTTTCCATCGAACTGAACGAAATCGGGGCTCCGTTGGGCTAGCTACTGGTCTTAAGCAAAGCCATCAATCTCCGAAAGATTTTGCCGGACAGGCATTTGCTGTCATATGCTCGATACAAATGTGCCCCGGTGTCTATCTGTCTGCCTAATTTCGGACCTCGGGTTTTGGATTTTGGATTTCAGATTTCGGACGGCAAGGTGTATTTTGCCATTACCATTTGACAACTGTCACAACGCTGTATGACATGGTCTGCGATCGAGATCGAGATCGGGATCCCGTCCAATCTCCGAACACGCTCCTCCGTTCGTTGTCCAATTAATATTTTTTGGCCACTGCTTTTTGTGGTGGTTTTTTGCACTTATTTCCTTTGGGCTCGCGTAATAATTTTGTAGGCAATTTATTAACTGTTTGGTGTGTTTGCTTAACTCGTTTTATCGCTCCGTTTATTAAGCGCCCAATTGATAAAAACGCATTCATATTCCGCTTAAATGCCTTTTTTCAGATAACGACCCATTTGCCGGCCATCCTGCTTGCTTTGATCTGCCTCGGGACACGCCCCCCGCCCATCGATGCGGTTCGAGGCGGGGCACCTGTTGTGGTCGCCGATGACGATGACGAAACTATGGAGTACGCCCCGCAATATGTAAGTGAGCCAGCGCCTAAAAAGGTGCCAAACTAATCCCATTGAGCAGGCAAGTCGAGTGCATGCTACGAATATGGATTTATGTAAGGTGGTACGGTGGGAAAAATTGGTGAGGAAAGGGCAGAAATTGTTAAAGAATTGATAAGATATAGATAGATATATTCATTTTTTGATTTTTATATATTTTGCTTTTTTTTATTTCCTATTCTTACCTTGCCTTCTATTAATTACTTCTCAAGCAAAAATTTCAAAAAATCGAATCAAAATAACTAAGTTATGGAAGCCAAACGATTTTTAAGAAATCTAACATATTGTTATATAATAAAGGTTTTCGGAAGGCAGACTCTTCTAGTTTTCCTTTGGTTACTTAGTTAAAGCACACATGGAAAATCTTTGACCATGTAATACAATTATTTGGGATTATATATTTGTAGATTTTTTAAGTTTACGAAAAGGCTACTACAACAATCCAGTGCACTAAATGGAAATATTTCCACTTTTTTACTACAGGACAAACTAATTTATACATTTGACGTACATTTAAGTTAGTAATAACTCAATTCATTTTATTTAAAACCCACAAGCGTTTTTCGTAAAGGCTTTTGGCGAAAATATTAACAAATAAATAACATATTTTAGCGTTATAATGGCGGACAGCTGTCCAAAGAGTTGATCGTTAGGCGGCTTTTAAATGAAATAAATCATCCGACTTCTCACAATTAATTACGAATTTGATCGATCTATCAGAAAGTAGAGCGGAACCAAGCACCGATTAATACATCAAAGCAGTTTAAGTCGAAATCCCCTCGCGAACGCATAAATACCAGCTATGGCTAATCTTGCGATCGTGGAAAACGCATTTTCCGCCATTGAAAGTGAATGTTGTCGTGCGACTGCAGAATGTTCAATACTATATCTTGCGATGGCAATAGCCGCCTCCACCGCCGCCCACATAAATCAACTTGTTGGCCCGACCTGACTTCCACTCCATTGTCTTTATTTCTAAAGAGGGGGTGGTACCCCAAGCGGGGGTTAAGTGGTGGAAGCTGGCAGGTAGCCAAAATCACAAAATAGCGAAAATGCGAAAATGCGTTTTGCGTGCACACACGATCGGGGGCGCCATATATGGCTATATAACGCAGCTTGTGGCTGCTGCACCTACGGGCCAGGTTAAGCGAAAGGTGGTCCGAAGGCGAGATTGAATTCTTTTCTTTTGTAACTGTTTTCTGTAAGTAACGGACCGGCGACAAGGTGCGTTTTCCAAAAATGTTAAAATGTTTTCCATGCTGTCTGTCTGTCTGACTGTCGGTCGTTGCGACGGTTAAACGCCTTTGAAACTGTCGCGTCTGTCAGAAATTTTTTGATTTGAATCGGCGCTGTGTGCTCCCACGATCTGTCGGGCGATTTGTTGTCAAAATGTTGACAACGCCGCGTATGCGTAATTTGCATGTAATTGTGGAGCGGAGTGGAGTGATTGCGCATACGCCCAGTAAGCCAGTTATCCAAATCATAAATTGGTCACCCATAAATTTATGAGTTAAAGTTCACACGCACCCACAAACCTTGCTGCAAAATTGGCCACCAACCGCGGCCACTGCTCCCAATGATCTCTTTGGGTGGCCACCACTGCGCCAATGCGCCGCCTTATGCAACTCTTATTAAAACCTCCATTTATCCAGGCGTTCAAATATATTTACGACGCACAGTATAGCTGCACTAAGTGGAACTAGGCGTTCCTTACAATAAGTGCTGTAATCTTAACATTGTTTAGTTGATCGAACCAGAGGAATACGGCACATAGGTGACCAAAGATGTTTCCTGGAATACTAGCCACTCCCTTTCAAGATATAGAGGTTCTACTGTGAAATACATAGAGGGACATGCGTGCGACGGCTGCCGCTCAAGTTACACTCGCTTGTAATCATTTGTTTCGTCCGGACAGCGACAGCGGAGCAGGAGTTAAAATTGATAGGCAGCGAACAACGGCGGCGGCAGCGACAGCAGCCAGAAAAGTAACCAATAGTTACCCACGGCGACTACTGCAAGTTGGCCGAAAATGAAAAAGATTAGAGCAGCCAGCATCTGTGTGCGTGGCCATTTATGGACGTCTGCGCTTAATTGAAGCGAGCGCCGAAGCATGCGAAAAACTTTTGCAATTTGCCTTAGAAATACTGAAGGTGCCAAAAAAGAAGGGGAAAACGCACAGGCACAAGCACACTCATAAAACAAACGTGTCCGAGTGACACCGAACGCTCTACATTTTATATTAATTGAATTTATGTAAATTTTCGGTTTGTTTAGTGGCTGGCTTTATGGGGTTAATGCGTGGCGGTATGGCTATAAATAACAATCTAGAATGTCATTTGAGTTTAAACTAGAGTAATTTGCATTTAACACTCTTATTATCACAAATGATAAAGGCAATTAAACTAAAAGAGGTGCACAAAAAGATTTTCACACTTGCTAGCCATAAAAAGAAATTCAAACTAAAAAATCATTATTTTCAGCCAGACAAAACCTTTTTTACCTCTCTCTAATTAATAGTCTTATTATCTTTGACTTCAATGCCGGCTGCAGATCAAACAAAAACCCAATCCCCCGAGAACAGAAAAACCCAACCCAGCAAAGGCCTCCTTCAGTGGCTTTCAAACTGTGCACAGCGCGCGTTTTCGCCTTGACACAAAAAAGTTGGATTTGTTTCATTTTTTATTTGGCATTTTTTTGTTTTGTTGGTCGTCATGAAAACATATAAAATTCTACAGACGTTGACATAGCCATTGGGGTTTCGAAAAGTGTGTGTACGAATTTTGGGTGCGGTTAACGCCATAAGAGCTGCACGCGTTTTAAGAGCGTTTTTAAACGCACTTAATCTTATTTATGGATTCTTTTCGTTTTAGGAACATCCCGGTTATGCCTTCAGTTATGGGGTAAAGGATCTTCATACTGGTGATGTGAAATCCCAGTGGGAGTCTCGCGATGGCGATGGAGTCAAGGGTCACTACAGCATACTGGAGCCAGATGGATCCATACGTACGGTGCATTATACAGCCGATGCCAAGAAGGGATTCAATGCCATTGTCAAGACAGTGGGTGCCAATTCGCATCCCATCACGGAGACCCCGGAGAGTAGCAACCATGTTAACGATGATACCTCGCAATCGAAGATCAACCATTATAGCAAGGACCAGGAGCACATCGTCCTCAGTTCGGACATAAAACCGCTGAAGAAACCCATTGAGGACTTAACCCACTCGCACCCGAAGATCCCCAGCTTGATTGAGATCAAGCCGCATGCCAGGATCAAGCAGGTGCCAATGGATATGGATCCGGGAATTAGGGACCGTTTGCAGCAGGCCAGGGATACCTATTATAAGCAAATTGCAGCTGCCCATAAGTTAGAGGATTATTCGCAGAAGCTACAGCCCACCTATGCCGTTCAAGAAGGCGATTGGAAGGCGGTGATTGTGAATGAACCCAAGGAGTACCGACCTTATTACACCACAGCATCGCCCGTCCACTCCCACCACGGCTTCTATGACAACTATAAGCCAAAGGAGATTCCCCACAACTATATACACAAGCCTTCGATTTCTCAACAATCCCTGCACACAAGTTTCTCACCATCGAAGCCCAGAGTCAGTATCCCTGAAAGCCTCTCCAATCACATTCACCAGAAAAAGGTGGTTCACACCACACCCGGACTTAAGCACTACAAGTACAAGGGAGTATCCAAGTCCTATTCCCGACCTGATTACTCCAGTTATTTCCACCGCAAGCCCAAGAAGTTGCGTCCCCTGCATCCCAAGCAAAAGCCAATTGGCCGGAGACCAGAAAAATCCGGTCCTGTTCTCTTCCCGAAAATTCTAGAAGATGATTTTGAGGATTACGAGGAGGATGAACAGGGGGCGGCGTCGGCCACTCTGGTTCAGAATATGGTGCGCAAGGACAAGAAGCACATGATTCCCATGTATGCGGGCGGACATAGCTTTGATTCGGACAGCTATCGCACCCTGGAAGGTGTCTAGAGATAATGATGTTTCCTTTTCCTTTCTTTATTTATTTTGTTCGTTTTATGCGTAATTTATTTGTTTAGTTATGTTATTTTTAGAACTTTGTTAATAAATAAATATGCCCCAAAACAGCAACCCGTTTTTAATGGTAAGATTTTAATTTATACAGATTTCAATGGTAAAACTAATTTAAAGAATTAATTTATAATTTAGTATGATAAGTTAAAAAATTTATATTTATTATAAAATTTTCAAAAATTATATTTATTATTATTTCAAATTATTATTTCAAATTACCAAAAGTGTACTAACCTTGGTAGAACTTGGAAGAGGGATAGATCTGGAATATATTTATTCCGTATTTTTTTTCCAAAAGAATACCAACACTCCGTGACATGGTAAGTAATGATTACCTCTTGCGGAACAAATTTCCAGGTGCACTTGCCGGGGATTTTCCATCATTAATCATAGAATTCGAAACGAGACAAACAATAAGCAAGAAAATTCGTGGGTTGACAGGAAATTGCTAACAAGCAGCCAAAGATCGCCGACTTCTGATCCCCCTGGCAGTGCCCAACCTCCAATTGAGTTTTGTGACTATGCCATGTAATGGCAATAGCAGCAGCAACGCCATCCAACAACGAAAGCTACAACCATAAATTAACACCAGTTCGCATTAATTATTTCCAGCCGACAACGCAACTTTGAAAACGCCCCAAAAATGTCCAAAAGCAGTGTGAAAAATGCTCTTTTTGACTAGGAATATTCAACGATTCTCTAACCATCACTTCACACTGCAAACATTCCACCAAATGCACTATTTATTTTGGCTTTCTTTTTTATTTGAAAATTCATAAATAATATGTCATGTTACTTTCATATGTTGATCGCAAGAAGGTGGCTTAATAAAGTTTTTACCGTATAAACGTCCCATAAATGAAAGATTTGTATTACTTAAATTAACGAGCGTATACTATATAAAATAATTAATAAAGTGGAATTAGTTTTTGCTCAAATAAGAACTATAATAACCCCTTGCTAGAGTATTCCTCAAAAAACGCGTGCGATTTGACAGCGAATTATGCGATTGCAATGCAATGGGCCATGCTGGCACTTCTGAGAATTGTCTCTCAGATTTGTTTAGGCCGCTAATTGCTTTCGGCCAGAGTTCTCTGCCGGTGGGGAGGGATCCTTTCCTTAAAAGGTGTGCGTGTCAGCGGAGCTGCTTTTCCACCGGCGACTCCGGCGAGCCCCAAACCGGATCTAAGTCTCAAGAGTCTCGGGTACGCGATATATGAACGCAGAGCTGACTCATAGCCCCTGACTACGTTCAATGTCGTTGGACGGAGGCGGCGCCTAATCTAGAAAATTGTAAATTATTTAATTGGGAGCGCTGCCAAACGCCTCTGCACTCGACTCACTCTCGTAAACTGAAATCCGAGAATCTGTTGCACTCTGGCGATTTTCTCAGCATTCTCACGCGACTAAAAACGCGCTAAGTGATCTCCGTTTATGAGCATCGCTTTTTATTGCCATCACTTTGGATCCGATGCCGGGGAACTGGTTCGCCTAGAATCGCAATGTGGGAGCAATTTGCATATTGGCAATCATTTTTTATTTGCCGAATCGCCCTCTTCACTTCGATCACCCAGTTGACACTTTGGTCCCTGATCGCAGGTCGATACTTCAATTTATGCACAGAAATCGCAAGAAAATCCAAGTCAATGCCATACGCAACGATTTGCGTTGACGAAAAGTACGAGTTTTCAAGCTGGCATTCGCAATCGAATTTGAAATCGAAATCAAAATCAAAATCGCACCCGTAATTAGAATACTCGATCCGTGGTCGAACTAGTTATGCATGAGATTAGCTAAATTGGATTAGCCGAGGGGTTAGGCATTCGCTGGTGGGAGAGCTAGTGCAGCAGAGCGATCATTAAGAATGCCGATCTGTGCCTAATCTGTGTTAATTATGACAAATATTTATGACACTCGAGTCGACATGTGGTGTAGATGCTGCTACCAAGGGGGTAGATTAAAATACACAGGCGAACCTTTTAAAGAAGTTTACAGAAGCTTAAAATTTCCACAGGCCTTAGATCAGTCAATCGCCCCTGACGGTATGCTTCATAAATAAAATTGTTTACGGCTGAAGTTATTATATCCGGCTTATCACCTTGGTTTTTATTCAATTAAACGACAAATACTGGAGCATGTTTGTTTACAACATTACGATCTATTTAAATTATAGAATTATGAATAATGAAATTCTTACGAGGTTAACTACATCAACAGGATACTAGCCTCTTTTAATTTAAGATATTATCATTTATTTTAGTATTCAAAAGTAACCAGATAAAAGCGTCATTAAAATATATTACTATTTACACTTGAGTCAAAGTCTCACACTTATTAATAATAAACTTACAACACTTTCTCATTATCCCGATAGTGACTTAAGCATAGCTAATCATAACCATAACTAACCAGAACTTTAACTATTATATTATTAATAAATAACTTATAAATTACATTAACAATCAAAGGAATATAAATATTATTGTTTCCTACAATCAGAAATTTATTTCTTTATACTAATAAGTTACAAAAATAAAAGATCTCAAAACATGTTTTTATTGGTTCAATAGAATATGGAATAATATTTGTAACATGTGTAATGCAATGGCAAAGTTAGTAGCCAACAGCAAAGTAATATAATATAATACACATTAATACACATACATTAACCAACATTTTATAGTAATATTTCAAAATCAAAAAAGTCTTGAAACGATTTTCAAAACCTTTAACCATAATAAAATACGAGGATTAGTCAAATTTTCAAACTTAAAGGATTAAGTCCCAAAGGATCCAATTAATATTTATATCGACTGTCGTTGACTAAACGCACCTTATGACCGCATTTAATTAGCTGTCCGTCGCGTCTGAAGTCTGCCACTTGGTGGCAGTGGCAGCCATCAAGCTGCCATCGCTGCCACATTGTCCCTGACTTGCGAATGACACCGCATGCCGGCCAAATCAATTAAAAACACCCAGCTGGAAAAAAAAGCAAGACAAACTGTTGGCCAGACGATTACCGATGTGAAATCTAGGCGAAGTTTTGCCGAAATAAAAGCAACCATAAATGGCTGGCTCGAAAATTGATTGAGCAGCACACGCGTTGACATTTCAATTAGAAGCCCAGACTCGACCAAAAGAAAAATCTCAGAAAAAAGACATAGGAAAAACCAAGACACGCAATCGAGCCAAAGAATGCCGATCCAGATCGAGAGTCGGTGCCAGCTGATAAACCTAGCTGACCAATTAAGCTTCGGGTGATTGGGTGTTGCACGATTTTTATCGGAAAGCCAGGAGAAGAGTTGCGTCCGAAAATGTTCCCGACTTTTCCTGCCATTTTCCCGACTACAACTGCATCTGCGACTTCGACTGGGAGTAAAACTGCTGCTGTTAATTGAACATGAAACATGTTTCGGGCTGTCGGCCAGCTTTTTTCTTCATTTTGGGCTTTTCGCGAACGGTTTTCGCAATTTGATTGAATTTTAATTTTTCAACATTTGCAAACGCAAGCCGAAAAGTCAGCTGCGCGAATTTTAACCTACTTCAGGCTGATCGCTGGACGAGTTTAGTTCGCCTCGCCACGCATTTGTCACACACACGCACAGATCGCTCGTGTTGCGTAAGTTTGGTGAAACGATCTGCGGGCTTTAGAGAGCCAGCTATATGGCTATATAGCTTCAGCGTCAGCATCAGCTTCAGGTACAGATACAGCTGGCCATGGCTGCCTCACGACCATGCCTACTTAGCATCATGACGAAATCAAATCTCAACCCTCCCCCTTTCGCTTCTCGGGCTTTTAATTGAAAAATCTTGATTTTCGCCCCAGCCAGATCATTTACATTCAACTTTGTTTTGCGGCGAATCCTATATCTAGATGGTTTGTCGTTCATTCAATAGTACGGCCATGTTGACCTGGTCGCTTCGTAAACATTTCAAAATTTGCCAAACATATTTATAAAATCGCCGATTTTATGTTTATCCATAATCTGCAGATCTCGCCCAAGAATTCTACAAGCCCAGAAAATATAAGCGTGTACCGCGAACCAGTTAAGTTAGTGCTAGAGTGCAAGTATTGCGTGTGTTTTTGAGAAAGGCCGACGGGCTTGGCATTTCGGCTGTGTGAGCGCACAACGCGGCGTATGCGTGATGCCAGCGGGGCAGTCGCGAAAGCGGCAGGATTAGCCGCTGCCACTGCTGCTGACGCCGATCGAACTGCTCAAAGTTATGACTTTAGGTAGCCCAATGGTCTGCGCTTATGAGTGAAAATGCATTTTCCGCACCTTGTGTGCAATTGCTGCCTGTTCGTGGGCGACATCTGGACTTGGCCAAAAGGCAAAATGGTTTAGTAACCGCCGCTTTAAACGGCACGGTTATGGTTTGTTTTATTATATAAGCTGATGAAGAAATTAAAAAAATACCTATGGGAGATTATTCAATAAGATACTTAATAAAATATTTTTTAATTTTACAGTCCTTACTTTGATACTATATTAATGCTTCGGATCATTCATGTTTAACTTCTAATATCCAAAATATTACTTTACTGTCCACCAATAAAAGTCAAATGGTTTTTTACTGCAATACAAACTATTTAAATTGGTAGATAACTCATCAGTTTACAGCAAAAAAAACGAAAATCCACTCTTAGCCTTACCCCGAATTCTTTGCCATGTTTCTTCAGATCGCTTGGCAGGCAACCGATTTATCAGACATGTTAACGCATTGGGTTGACCATTTTTTCGACATCTACCCACCCTCGCACAGAGGGTGACACTCGAGGCATTCGCATGGTGACCTTAATTGCCGACAAGTCAACACTTTGCCATATCTCCCGGCTATTCTATTAGTTACACATTGTATCGCATTATGATGTGGCAATGCGCCTTTTAGCCAACTAATGCACAATCAAGGCCCAAGGCACACAACACGCATGATTGCACACACACACAGAGGCAGACAAAATTTATTGATAGCGACATTAATACCACAATTCTTGTTTTATTTTCTACATACATTGCTCTCTATTTTTTCTTGATTTTTTTAGAGTTTTTTTTCGGTTCGGGGGCCTAGCAAATTGCGTATGCATTTATTTTTTCCAGAGCTAGACGCAATGGCCGCGATTAAAATCTAAATCAAATTAAGTCGCTTTAAAAGCATACGAGTATGCAAAAAAAAAGTCAAAAAATAAGACAAAAAAAATCTTTAAAAAGTCTAAATAAAACTGTGGCTAAAAAAGTGACTTGGCCAACAATGCACCACGCGCATTTTGAGATCGGTTTATTTTTGAGCCGAGGCGTTCGCGACTATGATCTAATAAAACGTTACCAACTGAGGCTCTGAGCGAAGGTGGGGCCAACAATTGGCCAGGCAGGTTGCAGTTCGCCAGCTTGCTAGTTTTCAGTTTCCAGCAAGCTGTTCAGTTTTCGGTTTACGACTTGGAGAGAACAAAGCTGCCTCGAAACGAGAGCTGGAGTCGAACAGTCATCAATTCTTCATCTGCACGCGCCAAAGTCGCAGCATATTCGTGCCTCACTTGGCTCTTTCCTTGCAGCTAGATCCATTTTTTTTGTGAGTTTTTCGATTTTTGCTACACATATCGTTACACTTTTTTGTCGCTTTGTCGCCAAACTGGTGCGTGGCTGCTGCGCATGCGTGCGAGCTTTTCGCGAGTGTTGGCCAACTGACCGAACGTATATAAGCGATTATAGGGCCGGGCTGGCCAACAGTCCAGTCCAGTCGGCCGCGTGGCTCTGCTCTACATCCCGAATCGTTCCGTTCCGATCCGATCCGATTCGATTCCATTCGACTAGTTTTCGTTGCGTTTCGAGCCGTACTTAGTAGAACTTAAGCAAATCGGAGATCGAAATAAGATCAATTAATTGTGATTTTCAGAGCCGAACAAGGATAACCCATTGGAATTACAGTCGAACTATCAAGGATCCCAAGCTTGTGAATTCTTTTTGAAAAGTGCAAATGCTGTGTTGTTACTGAACAAATAATCCATATAGTTCGTGAATCCTTGCAAACGGATACTTACCTTCGACTGTGCAGAGTTTGGAAAGTGAAAATATGAAGGTGGGTCCTTTAATTATTTACTTTCAAAAAACTTTAAAAAGGACAATGAAAGAAAGTATATACAAGTGTGAGACGGAGGAAGTGCGGAAATTTGAATACCATTCCAGCCATTTTGGCTGAACACTTAAAAAAATTACAAATAATTCAGAAACACATTTTATGTGGATTAATGTACATTATTTAAATGAAATGAATCAAAGCTTGGATTATAAAGAAGAAATACCTGAATTGGATTATTTAATACTTTTCAAACAATTAAGTAATTCAATAATTTAAATTAAGTAATTATTTCGCCTTAAATCCTTTAAAGGGTTTGCATGGAAAAAATTTATTTGACTGCAAAATCATAACTTTATTCAAAAATGGTTTCGAAAATTTCAAATTTACATTTCTTAAACTTAACCTGGATACATATTTCTACAGAAATAATCCTTAAATTATTATAATTTAAAACCGTTTCAAGATCTCTTTAATAATATTCGCAATTTATTGGTAAATACTTTGCATAAAACGTTTAAATATTTTATGCGCTTAGAATTGTTTTTGAATCTTTCCTTAAGTCTCAGTAAAAATAAAACTGATTCATATTTATTTTTTAAAACTAATTTAATTTATATTGTTGATTTATGTAAGTAGATTTACTTATGTAATATATGTGCCGCAGCGTGATTCCTAGTATTCGTAGACGAGTACATTTTCACTGGCAATCTGAATTCGGGGAGCTGCACTCTTTTGTTTGGATAGATGATATTGAGCGAAAAGCACCCGAATGAGGTCCGATCGTAGATGTCAAGGGTATTGAGTGAGACAGAGAGGACTATGTTCTGAGGACTCGAGTGAGTATGCGACTTGAGAGCGCATACGACACAAGAGGGTGGATGAAACAGTCAGTTGAGCTTGATGATTAGAAACGGTGGTAACTCGCTGTGCTATCGCGGGGATTATACTAAAAAGATGGGCGCCGATATGTGTATACAAACTATGGGAGACCACATTAGTTCCTTTTAAATTTGTTATTAAATTTAATTACTAATGTTTTGTTAACCCTTTCGATTTCAGTTCCATTTGGTTGCCCTTTTGGGCATGCTTAGCGTGGTTATGGCAGATCCTTCGCCCACCCTGGCACCACCGATATTGCCCTGTGTCCATGCGGCCACCGCTGGGTATTCGTATCCTCCGCCGGCGGAGGTGAAGTTCTCCATCTCGCCCGGAGTGACCAAGTTCAGTCAGAGCCCTGCGATTTCCACGTACTCGGAGAACGGACATCTCCTGCACACTTCGGTAGGAAGTTCCGGAGCCTCCTATCAGTCCACGGCTGGAATCGAGGGCTTGTCACATGGTGGCATTACCCAAATCGACAAGTACATAGCTCCGGTGCAGAAGACCCTATTTGCTCCTTCGGCTGAGTACGGCTCTGCGGGAATTACCTATGCGGACAAGTCACCAGCCGCCAAGTACGCCACCGTGGTGCCATCTGGAATTGAGATCAAGAAATTGGTTTCCCCAGCTATTACCAAGTTGGACAATTCCTATCTGCCACCATCACCGGGAGTTACAAAAGTGGCCACGTACACATCGCCTGGATATAGTTACAGTTCGGCCACTCCGGGAATATCAAAGGTGGCTACATACTCCTCCCCACCTCTTTCCAGCATTCCGTACTATGCGCCACCTGTGACTTCCAAGGTGGAGACCTATAGCTCACCTGGATACACCTACTCAAAGGCCACTCCTGGCTACTCCAAGGTGGAAACCTACAGCTCTCCTGCTTACAGCTATGGACAGGTTTCACCAGGAATCTCTAAGGTTGCCACATATTCGCCTTCGGTTTCCTACTCTGCGCCAGCGATTGCCAAGGTGTCTACCTACACCGCACCAGCTGTTAAATTGGCCACCACATCGTCCCTCCTGTCCTCCCATGGAACAGGGTACTCCGCTAGCTATGCTCCATCTATAACAAAGTACAGCCAGGCGGCCGACGTGTCTCATCAGTACTTTTCCAAGCCCATAGTCGCCGCTGCTCCGGCGATCACCAAGGTGGCCGCCAGCTATGGAGGCACTGCCTCTGGGGCTCTTTCCCACCAGTATGTCTCCTCGCCCGCCCTTGTAGCAGCCCCAGCCATTGCGAAGGTAGCCACTTATGCAGCTCCAACGGTGGCCACCTATTCATCTGCTCCAGCCATCACTAAGCTCTCCACTAGTTATGGAGCTTCAGGATCGGGAGCCGTATCCCATCAGTACGTCTCCAAGCCAGCAGTTGCTATTGCTGCCCCTGCGATCGCCAAAGTGGCCACCTATGCTGCTCCTGCCATTTCCAGCTACTCCACCGGTCCTGCCATCTCCAAAGTAGCCACCTATGCAGCTCCCACTGTATCCACCTACTCCTCCGGTTCTGGTTATGGGGCCAGTGGATCCGGAGCCGTCTCACATCAGTATGTATCTAAGCCAGCAGTTGCCATTTCAGCTGCTCCTGCCGTAGCCAAAGTGGCAACGTATGCTGCCCCAGCCATATCCACCTACACTGCAGCTCCAGTGGTGACCAAAGTGGCCACTGGATATGGAGGCAGCGGAGCGGGATACAGCTCGGGAGCTGTTTCCCACCAGTACGTCTCCAAACCAGCGGTGGCTATATCAGCAGCTCCTGCCATTGCTAAGGTGGCAACCTATACTGCTCCTGCCATTGCCACTTATTCAGCAGCTCCGGCTGTGACCAAGATCGCGACGAGCTATGGAGAATCTGGTCATGGAGCTGTGTCTCATCAGTACGTTTCCAAGCCAGCAGTTGCCATATCGGCAGCTCCTGCAGTCGCTAAAGTAGCAACCTACGCTGCTCCGGCATTATCAACCTATGCCACCGCTCCGGCAATCTCCAAAGAGGCTACTTATGCTGCTCCTGCGATTTCAACCTACTCGGCAGCTCCTGCTCTGACCAAGGTTTCCTATAGTCAGGCAGCGGATGTGTCCCACCAGTATATCTCCAAACCCATTGTGGCGGCATATCCTGCAGCTGCTCCCGCGGTGGCCACTTACTCATCAGCTCCTGCCATAAGCAAACTCTCCACAAGCTACGGAGCTTCAGGATCGGGAGCCGTTTCCCATCAGTATGTGTCCAAGCCAGCAGTTGCAATTTCAGCAGCACCTGCAATCGCTAAAGTGGCAACCTATGCTGCTCCTGCTATTTCCACTTATTCAGCAGCTCCGGCTGTGACCAAGATCGCGACAAGCTATGGAGGATCTGGTCATGGAGCTGTGTCTCATCAGTATGTTTCCAAGCCAGCAGTTGCCATATCGGCAGCTCCTGCCATCGCTAAAGTAGCAACCTACGCTGCTCCGGCAATATCAACCTATGCCACCGCTCCGGCAATCTCCAAAGTGGCTACTTATGCTGCTCCTGCCATTTCCACCTACTCGGCAGCTCCAGTGGTGACCAAAGTTGCTACTGGATATGGAGGAAGCGGTTCGGGATACAGTTCAGGGGCAGTTTCTCATCAGTATGTCTCCAAACCTGCGGTTGCTATTTCAGCAGCTCCAGCCATTGCCAAAGTGGCCACATATGCTGCTCCTGCCATTTCCACATATTCTTCCGCACCCAGTCTAACCAAAATTGCCACTAGCTATGGAGGATCGGCCCATGGAGGAGCCGTCTCCCATCAGTACATCTCGAAGCCGGCGATCGCAGTAGCTCCAGTGGCTCCTGTTCTCTCTAAGACTTACTTGCCAGCTGCACCAGCCATCGCGTTGCCTACTAAAGTGGCGACAGGATACGGAGTTAGTGGCTCAGGAGCCGTGTCCCATCAGTATGTCTCCAAACCAGCGGTATCTATTGCGGCCCCAGCCATTGCCAAAGTAGCCACCTATGCTGCTCCCACAATTTCCAGCTACTCCACTGGACCTGCAATCTCGAAAGTAGCATCCTATGCTGCTCCTGCCATTTCTACTTACTCTAGTGCGCCTGTGATATCCAGTGGCCATGGATATGGCGGAAGTGGCTCTGGGTACAGTTCTGGAGCTGTCTCTCATCAGTATGTGTCGAAGCCAGCGGTTGCCATCTCAGCTGCTCCAGCCATTGCCAAAGTGGCCACTTACGTTGCTCCAGCTGTAAGCCATATTTCGGGCGGTCATGCAATCGCCTCTGCTCCGATCTTATCCACAAAAGTGGCTACTGGATACGTAGGAAGCGGTTCGGGTTATAGCTCGGGAGCTGTTTCCCATCAGTATGTGTCCAAGCCAGCAGCTGCTCCTGCAATTGCCAAGGTGGCTACTTACGCCGCCGCTCCAGCAGTCAGCCATATCTCCACAGGTCCATCGATCCCATTGGGAGTGGGAATCGGGTACGGAGCTAGTGGCCATGGACACGGTGGTGCATTGCTTAGCTCTCCTCTGACCAAGTTAACAACGGGTCCATCTTATTCCCTGGGAGGAAAGCTTGCCACCAGCACCGCCTACGGAATCCATGCCGGTAAGATGAAGACTTCTGTTTACCAGTCTTTTACTTTCGTAACATATACTTCTTATTCCAGCTGGTTTGGGACATGGAACGGGTCCAAGTGGTGGCTACTATGGAGCTATATCTTTGGGTCATGCAGCGGTGTCGCCAGCCCTAAACTACCAGGGTCTGCTGTCTCATGGATCTGGCTTGGCCCCGGCTTCATCCTCGCTGGCCCATCTAGACTCCTCACTCAGCGGATACTCGCATGGAGTGGGCGGAATTGGTCCTCTGGGAGCTGGATTCTATCGCTATGCTCCAAGTGTGCCAGCACTGAGCAGCCACGCCCCTGTGGCAGCCACCGCCTACTTGAAGTCTGCCCCGGTGGCTCAACATGCAGTGCTAAAGGTGGTGCCCGAAAAGCATCTGGAGCACTTTGTAAGTGGCACGCTATCCCCTAATTAAGATGTCCTTTAAAGATTTATTACTTCTCCAAGGATGCCCACCCCCGCTATGCCTTTGAGTATGCCGTGAATGATCCCCATACGGGTGACAACAAGCACCAAAAGGAGGAGCGCGATGGAGACGTGGTCAAGGGCGAGTACTCTTTGGTGGAGCCTGATGGCAATGTGCGCACTGTGAAGTACTACGCCGACTGGGAGACGGGCTTCCATGCCGAGGTCATCAACAGTCGCGATCAGGGCAAAATTGTGGCCAAGCGTCAGACGGAAGCCAAGTCGTGAGGTGAGTATTGAGTCTTCTCTCAGGAAAGGCATACTACAATAGGACTCCATCTCAAATAATATTTAAAAGCAATGTAAAGCTCTGACATATACTCCTCTGAAATGCAAATATGGATGTAGTTGAATATAATGTAAACAATTTATAAATACGAAATTCAAAAGTCTAAGATTTCTAGTATATTAATTTTGTTTTAACGTAAAGGTTTGTTACATTAAGAATTTCAAGACCAAACTTTAAATCTTAGAGAACTTATTTACACAGAATTTATACCTTTACAGACTGACTCAAGCTTCCCAATATGTAAGAGGTTATTAACATCAGAATTAACATAAATATACAATATAAAAAATGGATATATGACTAATGAGCTTCCATCCTTTAATACCAGTGGATAACTTTTAACTTTAATATATAATATACAACTTAATTTTATCAGACCATTTGAATAATATTTATTGATTATGTTAACTATTCCTTTATTTAATTTTTTATAAAATCTATTTTTCCACAGCTCTTGACAGGTCGCAATTTGTTTTGTTCGTTCAGCAACTGTAAATAGCCTCAAATCCAAACTTCTTCTCATTAAACATTAAACGTATTTATGTAAACCCCACAACGACAACGATGCACCACAATACACGGCCGCCATCTTGCCACGATATATCCAATAACCGACTATATATCCGTCCTCCACGCCACGCCCACTCTGTATCCCCGATTCTGTGCTCATGTGATAAGCGTTTCGTTATATTGAACTGCTTGCGCTGCTCTCAACTCAAACTGCGCGCCCCTTATTATGCTCAACTATTTGTACATAAAGGATTCCATATTGATATTTTGTAAAATGTTAATTTCAAATAAACGACATTTAAGATCGCCACAGTCGGGGGTGCTCGACAATGAGAATGGTTCAATCTATTATTCAATTTAACGAGTTGCAAATCCATTGTGTATTGCGGGTATTTGATTCGATGAATTTAATACTAAAAGTACAACACTGAAAAGGAAGATCTGAAATGCATTGAAATTATAAAGCGAGAATAAAATAAACATCTATTGTTCAATATTTTAAATTGTTGATAACGATTGGGTATTTAAATGATACCAAAGTTACAAGAATCTATTCAACAGCAGTTGACATAAATGATCACTTGTTACCTCACTACTATTTGAAAGATCCTCTTTTTAGAAAACTTATAAGTCCGCAGAAGTAAGGGTTCTCTTTATCAGACACTTTATACAGCACAGAATAAAACTTCCATTTTAATTTGTCTAAGTAATGTAAATTTGTTTATTGCCCGATAAACATGAAATCAACTATATAATTGTACAGTTTTCATATTTGCATGTATATATGTAATATCTAATTTCGTAGAAATAATTATTAATAGATTAATGTTTTATATAAGCCGCGAATCACATTTACCTTTGTTACGACCGAAAGACAGCTGGAATACTAATTCGTATAACTAGAAATTTGGCTCGTATGCCCTCCGCAGATCCTCGCTGATGAAGAGGCCAAAATCGGTGCTCTTGGCCCGATGCGGATGATGTGTGCAATATGTCTGGAAGATATGTCGCATCACGCGGCTGCCCTGCAGCTCAATTTCCCGTCGTCGCTGACTGCCAGTCGTGCCCATATCGAGATGTGCCAGAAGCCACTGGTTCTTAAGGGAGCGAAGGTCTCTCTCCAGGTTGGTCAACTCCTGGCTTCCGGTTTGAGGAACATGCAATGGTTCCAAGGCGGCGAAGGTCTTCCTTATCTCTTTGCCCTGCAGTTGAACTCGTAGGGACCTCTCCTGACGGAGAGCCTGATGGAGCATGTTCATCTCTCGATTGGAACTTATCGTGGTACTAGTCACACATGCACTATTCGCCTGCTGCTGCTCCTTCCAATGCTGCTGGGCCTGTTCTAGGATTGATATCTTATCCGCTAGTATATTCAAGGCCTGACCAAGAGCCGCCTCCTTGGCCAGGATCGATTGCTCCAGCTGCTCTACAGCTTCCGCGAATCCAGCAAGAACGTGACATTGTTTGCTCAGTTGCTTCTCGGCCATCTCTTTGCGAACCTGTAGCTCCGAGAAGTCCTGCTGCTTCATCTTGGCCATGTATTTGAGGCTTTTGATTTCCTTCTCTCGCTCTGCCACAGTCAGCTCCAGGTTTTTTACGTCTTCGTAGTGCCTTTTCACCTGCGCAGCCCTTTCCTGCAACGTGTTGCTGGTCGGATGACGCACATACTCTGTGTTCACGTCTGTGGATTCCAGCAATGTGAAGAGTTCATCCAATTGCTCTTCTAGGAGTTGCATACACCGCTGGCTGTAGGCATCCACTTCCCTGGGTTCCTCGGCCTCCTGACTTGGAGCGAACTTGTTGTAGTTGAGCACCAGCATCCTCCACAACTTCTCGTGGGCTATTCCCCCATTGGAGTCTTTGCTAGCTTCTCGTGCAGTGGATCCCAGCAAACGTATAAGGGCACCCAAAGCTTCGTTGGCCTCTAGGATTCTCTGGTACCTGGCACACTGCATTCCCGTCCAGGAAGCCGTCTTGCTACCACTTAATTTCCTCTGGAGCTTCTTAAGCTTCTGCTTATGGGCACAGCTCTGTTCCATTAGCAACTGCATGCAACTAAATGATGCGGTCTGCTCATGGCCCAACTGTATAATTGTGTGCATCAGACCTGCATTTGCATTTACTGCATCCAAGCCAGCTTCATAGACTTCGATCAGGGCTTCATAGAGCTGCTGCTCGTCGAGGAGTTCTACAAGCGTTTGAGGAGGCATCAGATTCTGGTGTAATCCATTCACGTAGTGAAGAACACGCTGAATGGGTTCGCAGTTCGTATGCTCATCCAGTTGTCCAGTCTTTAGAAGCCGCACAAACTCGTCAAGTTGTTGCTCCTGGACCTCCAGATCACTTCGATAAATGGCCGCATGTGTGCACAACTCGTAATCGCAGTGATTGAGGCCATGGCGGAACTGCTGGAGCACCAGTTGGAGACTCTTAAGCAGGTAAAGGCACTGCGACCTGAAGATGTACCTCTGTACAGAGTAACCCTCAAAAATGGCATCGCGACCTGTAAAAAACGTTTAGGTAGGAAAGTAATTGCAGAATCTTCTTAGGGAAAACCACTTACCAAACTCGCAGGCCGTGGGAAACTTCTCATTGATGGCCTGACATACGATCGTCAGTTTCTCATTCATCCGCTCTAGAAGCAGCATGACCAGTACCACATCGTGCTCCCCTCCGCGCAAAAGGAACTGTTCGGGGACGAAGGCCAGGACATGCTCTAAGTGTTGTCGCTGCAATCTTAACTCCACAGTCTTTATCTGCTGCTCAAGAGCCCTTCCGTAAGCCTTGCTCACACTGAAAATATGCTGGTAGTCCGCCTGGCTCTGATTAGATCCTTCTTCCTGCTGTGATTCGTTGGCACTGCTGAAATCCTCGATGGACAAGGTGCCATCTGCCCGAAGTTGGAGTTGCTCCTGAAGCTGTCTAACCAAGTCTCGGAATTTCATAATGGTCACATCTCGGTCGTAAAGACTCTCCATGGCAGCGTTTTTCTGCTGCTCCAGGATCTTAACTTGATTACTTAACTTGTCGATCTCGTCGCGGAGATCCGTTTCCAGTTCTTGATTACTTTCTATAAGTTGCTCTTGGATTTGTTCGAGTGCTTCCAGTTCGTTGACTTCGTCTTCCAAGAGCTTGACGCGATCTTCTAGCTCTAGTTTTAGGGAGGCCAGCTGGGTAACCATGGACTCTGCCCCGAGAGAGGCATCTACCTGCTCTTTCAAATCCATTAGCTGCACTTCCATGTTGTCCACCCTTCTGCTTAGTAACTCCTTGATGCTTTTCAGCTCGTTGATTTCTGAGTGTTTGGTCTCGAGTTCCTTGTGCGTTCGTTGACCAAGTTGCTTTTCCTGGGCCAGAGTGTCTCTTAGACGGACCACTGTTTCCCGAAGGCGCTGGTTATACTGCTCTAACCGAAGGAACTCCCCGGCGGTTTTGGCATTTGCTCCAACACCGGTTTGTTTCTCACTCTTCTCAATGCGTTGACCCTGCTGCTCCTCCTGCTCCGCCTTTAAGATCTCCACATCCAAGGTTAGTTCGTCATTTCTTTCCTGAGCCATTTCCAATTCCATTTGCAAGGTCTCCATGCGCTCCTCCGCCATTTCCTTATCCAGGGTGAGCAGTTCTATACTCTCAGCTATCTCGTCCAACTCCCTCTTGAATTTACAGGAAATATCCTGAGCTTCTCTCAGTTCGTGTCGTGACCTCTGCAGTTCCCTCTGGAGCAGTACCTGCTGCGTCATGATCTGCGACTTGAATTCTATCAGTTGCTCATTGTGTATTCGCATCCGCTCCAATTCTAGGAGCTTTAGTTTGTCCTCGCTCTTTTGTACCCTTAGCAGTTGGAGTTCTTCCTTTAATTGTCGAAGCTCTGGGTTATCTAGAGGTGGAGCCACTGAGCTGGGGGTTCGGAGTGCTGGCCCAGGTGTGAACTGCGGTCTTAGAATCTCCAGGAAGCGTGGCTCCACAAAGGCGGCAGGCGCAATTCTTTTTATCGAGCTTGTGGGACTCATACTAGTCTTGCTGCGCTTGGGAGCCAACGCCAGAGGAACCGGCATGGCCAAAGTGAGCTGAGCTGTGGAGCTCTGAGCCTGTGCTGTTGTTGGCTTGGGTTGGCTAATCCTTGTGGGTCTTAACTGGGTGTAGGATGTGGATCGTCTCTGATTGCAGGTCATAATTGGCGGTGTCAGTTGAACACTGGCCTTTTGTGTAGGCAGCTCTCCGATTGTGCTTGTTTGAAGCGGATTGACAACAGCCTCCTTTTTTGTGTCGACTGCGTCCATGATTTGGGGGTCGTCTTCTGTCTTAGCTGACTCATCGTCTTTTCTTGCTTTCTGGGGTGAATCCTTGGATTCCTGCTTAGATAGCTGCTTTGATTGCTCAGAAGCTGATGGCCTCCTGGGAGACTTGTTTACTCCTTCAGCTTCCGCACCTTCCAAATTCTTAAGATTGCCTTCAGACACGATTGGACTCTGAAACCAGTTTGATTGGTATTAATATATTAAGATTAAAAGGTTGCCACAGATATCACTAAGGGAGTGACCTTTTTTTTTAGTCTAAGAACTCGAAAGTAATTGTCTTTCCAGTTTAAAAATGTATACCCACAAATTGCATTAGTTTGACCTATATTTATTGTGGTTAGTGAAGACTCCTACAACTTACCTTTGGAAGCTGTAAAGGTTGTTGTTGGGCTGCCAAAAATTTCCCAGAAGTCTTGGCCAATGCGGGTTCCCTTAAGGATTGGTTGTTCCTGTTCCTACGCTGAGGCGATGGAGTAGAAGGCGTTGCCTTCGCTTTTCCAGATGTACTGGGCATCTGCTCCCTCTGGTTCTCCTATAGAAAGCAATTGTAGTGCGTACATTTAATTTAAGCACTTGACATGCATTACTCACCTGCTCCTCCACGGACTTTCCCCCGCCACTCCGCCTCGAAAGTTTTGCTCGCGCCCCGTCACGTTGCATTTCATCGGTTTTTCGATTATCCGCTCCGTTTGAAAACTCGGCAATCCTCACCAGCTGCTGGGCGCGCACGAAGAGTCCGCAGTTGGTGGGACACTTGAAGTAAATGCTGCCGTGGATGCTTCCATTATTTTTGCCTAGCGGCTCGTCCAGCACCACGCCGTACCAGAGTCCGGCGGCGAAATTAGTGGGTCCCACATAGGCAACTTTACCCAGCAGTTTTTTACCCGTTACCTCAACACGCTGACCAAGTTTTAGTTCCCGGGGGCTCATCATAAGCTTGGAGCTTACGTCATCTTGTAGACTTCACGTCCAGTTGGATGAGTCGATGCCGTGTGTAATCCCAGTTAGCAGCTTGCAAAACTGCACTGCTGAGCAAAACCGATGCGAAAGCGAGTCATCATGTGCTGAGGGCCCCACCCCAAGGAAGTTAATTCTTGAAGGCGCAGGCGCAAGAAGGGCGATTTATTTATGGTGGGTGGCCGACTCGATGAAAAGGTTGACACGTGGGAGGCCCAACAACCTGCCTGTTTAATTTACAACAAAAATACTTCAACCTTTGCAGCAATCAACGCCTACTGCTTTTAGCAGGCGGCATCTTAGTCTTCGATGCCTGCTTCTCAATCTGGTCGATAATATGCTGCTCCTCGGTCAACATGGCCATGATAACCTCGGCATTTCCTTTTAAGATCCCAGATGACACACAGCTTGCCGGATCACGATTGAATTCCTCCTCTACTAACCCAACAATATTTTCAGTGATAGCGTCTAGAGAATTTGCAGAGTTACCGTCCTGCGCAATCTCCTTTGGATTCTCCATTATCTTCTCCTGAATACTACAATCTTCCAAACTCTTTTGTGAACAAAGTTCTACTGTTTCCTCCCCGGACTCAGACTCAATTTTAGTTGTTACACTCAATTCTCCACATCTGGTATCTTTCTCCTCCGAACCGAAATTCTCTGTTGCTTTATTCTTTCCATTGACCCAAACTATGCTGCATTTTGGATTTTGTAATTTTGACTGTGAACAAGATCCCTCTAAGTTTGATTGCAATTCCGATTTCACTTCGGTTTCTTTTTTTCTTTTAGAGACCCGCACATTTCTTCGCCCATGATCATCCACTTTCCCCATTTCCTCGCCGGAATCCAACTGGACTGGAGGAGGTTGTTCGTTTAACAGTTGAGAAATCTTTTTAGCATCTCGTGCGGACAGCATGTTAATGGGCCTCAGGTCTCTGGAAACGTGTCGACGGCAATATGGGCAGGTGCCCATTACTTTTATTCTTGTCCCCATGATATACAAAAGTGCCTGTACAAAATTTCAAAATATTTCAAAATATAGCAAGTCGTAGTATTTGCTGTGCTGCTTTTTAGGAGTACTGATGTTTAATGAAATGTTTCACACAAGCATACTTCATCTTTATATTGACCAGCCATTCACCGCTCACTTTTTACCCACCTTAACCCTTTGTTCTAATATCTAATTTTTCTTAAAGCTTTAATGTGCAATTATCTTATTTTATAAACATCTCATGAAAAACATTCAACGTTGTATGAATTTATTATTATTGCTGATTTACAATTTGAGAGACCAGAAACTATTGCCTATCGAATGGTTTGGTTGTGCCTTTTGCTTAATACGTGTCGTCAACTAATAATTATATTGGTATTTATATGTACACCCATCTAGAAGACGTTACGACAAATGGGGCATGTTGACTTGCTGCTGGTGGTGAACCATTTATACTGGAAAAGTTTTTGAGTTAGTTCCGAAAATGGTTAAAGGATTTTAGGTGTCTTACCAAACAAGGTCCGTGGAATTTCTTCTTGCAGGTTTTGCAGGTGAGCTTGGGCAGCTGGCAAGTGTCCTGATGAATGACTGTATAACAGACATAGCACTCCTCTACGCCCTCGAACTTCTTGTCCAGATTATTTTTCCACATAGTCAGGCCGTCGTATATGGTGCCATTCTGCAAGAGAACATTGAATATTAACAATCTATACTACATATAAATTTTAAAATAGTCTTAGGAACATGTTTTCATACCTGATGTGTCAAGAAGATGGTCAACTGCATTCCCACATTTCGGGAGGAAGCCCTTCCACCAATTTGTTTGCCGCATTCGACCTTTACAGCTCCCAGCGGATAATTGGGGGCCAGCGTTATGACCAGCTCCATACGGGCCTCATCGATAGCATAGACTGCTAGCACTTCTCGGGTGGAGGAGTGAACGGTGACCTAAAAAATAATAAATGCGATTAAATAACTCAAATAATCTGTTCAAGTACAAGTCCAGTAGTCCATGCTTCAGTAGTACATAAAGTAAAGTCGTAGTATTTCCAGCCCAAAGATAGTTACATAGCGTTAGAATATAGCCCCTGTAGCTGAGAGATGGTGACCCTTGAGATCTTCCGCATCATTGTCATTGTTATACTACTGATCAGCATTACCGTGGTTTTTTCCCTGCGCATAAGCTACACAGAGGAAATGTAAGCACTCAAAGGCCTTACCTGCATATTTTCGTGTTTCTCCTTGCGATTAGCGATCGCCTTGAGCTCCTCACTGCAAATCAGCGAACTCACATAGTTGGTGGTGAGGTTGTCCACGAAGTTCTTTTGCCTGGACTGAGTGGTATTCCACCATCTGCGCACCACGGCCGGTAGCTTCCGGAGGACCTCCGTATATAAGTGACAGACATATCGCTCCAAGGGTAACTGACGGTCTTTAAAATAAAATTTAAATAAAAAAGTTGATCAAGGCAAGCCAGGCTGTGAGAAGTCAGTGTTTATATAGAGAATAGTTATCATAGCTCTATTGTATCCGGAGCAGTAGTGTACTGAGCAGCTTTTCATTTTTTTTATTTCCTTTTGATTCGAAAATATGGCTAAGCCAATAAATTTTAAGGACATTCCGTCCGAGATGCCACAACCCAAGCGCATTCAACTCGAGGGTGAGGTTTCAGTGGCCGAGGCCATAAACTTCCTTAAGACACAGTGTGATACGCGAAAGGAGCACAAGGAGGAGGACCCATTTAATGAGGGCCCCACCGTGGCGGACGAGCTTAACGCCCGATTGGCAATGGTCCATGTGCGTGAGAGTCGCACCAAACACATTCGTAGGCTAGTCAAGTATAGACCCAACGATACGCAGGCGTTGTACAGGTAAGTAAGTTCGTCTATCTATTTTACAAAATCATCAAAACATTGGGTACGAGTTCTAAAAGCATAGTTAAGGAGGGCTTGACTAACAGTTATCCACTACTATATCATAAAACGCTTTTCTAAGTTGAAATCTTTTAAAACTCCAAAACCATAATCTTTATACATTCTACAACAGATTCATCTGTGTCTGTCCTCGCTACCATCCTTGCTATGTTCCCTGCCAGCACACAGGACAGATAATCATCGATCGTGACGTATTGTCGCGCGAGGAACACATTTGCTTTCTGGCTACGCCCAAGAAAGACTTCTCCTCGCCCCAGTTGGCCAAGCAGGCACGCTACTATACCAAAAAGATCTACGTGAACCAATGTACAGCCCGTGTGGAGCGCCTAGCCGATCCGCATCCGATGCGAGTGAGTGACACCTATAATTTCTTTAAGGAGTATCTCTTGCCTCGTAACATAACCGCTCTGGAGAACCAGATGAAACCAAAGCCTCCGGTGGAAGCCATGACAATGGAGAAGGCGCTGGAGTACATGGAGGAGGAGATGCGTCAGCGAAGGGCAGCTAAGCGCGTCCACAAGCGACGATGCAAAGGTCTCAAGAAACGCATCCTTTTGCGCCAGCGCAAGCAAATGCAAAAAATCATTTGCGTCCTGTTCGAGGAAATGAAGGATTTTCTACTCAACGATCAGTTCATTGTGGACGAAAACTCGCCTCTGTGCTCTGTGATTCTTGAGAGACTTCGAGAGTTTACTGGTAAGTGTCAAGACGCTGACAGAAGGATTATAGGAGTTCTCTAATTATAATTAAAATCCTCAACAGATCAAGAGTTCTATACGACCAGTAATTTGCGCGAGTATCAACGGATATTGGCCAACAATCTGACCGTTTGGATCAACAAGTTTATATCGAATTTGAATATTTACTTGGCGCCACAACAGATACCTGTAAAGCGGCAGATGATGGCAGAGAACGATCCCGAACAGTTTGTGCCCTTGTCGGACTACATTTCTGTTTCCGATGAACCAGGTGCAGAAGAGATGTTGGAGGATGTTGAGCAAGGAGCCGCGGAATATGACGACTATGCATATGGGGAGGACTTCTTGCCCGATGTTCTTAATAACGATTTGTCGGAGGAGACTATAGTTGCTTAAATAAGGTTCGGCTTACCCTTCATTTGAGTCCAAGTAAGCTCTTTGTAAACTCCGTTGCTGTGAACCTTGGCCCCGTGATTCTTCAGAATATCTACTGGCATTGCGCGAAAGAGGAAATGTAGAAAATTCTGTAAATCGTATACGAAAATTAATAGTGCAAAATTCAAATCAAAAGTACATTTTATGTAAAACTGACTCCAACCTCTTCATATTTGTTATCATTTAGCCAGTTGGTGTAAACCGCTCGCAATGCAACCGGGGATTTAGCGCAAGCATTGATTATGCAATCCCATAAGAAAAGGTAGCTTAGTGCATCGTGTCTGTTAATGGGTTCTAGATCTTCCAGCTCCGACAGCTTGAAAGTGAACTCCTCCAGGTATTTTTGTATCAGGATGTCGTAGCGTGTCAGGTAGTCCTCAAATCGATTGAGAAAGTGCCATTTAGAGATTGTGTTGGTTGCGTCTAGACTCTCGCTTTGCTTTTCATTCAACTCAATGTCGTCGGCAACGAAGTGTGGGGTTAATTGGCGGAGGGAGTGTACAGCACTTAGTCTAACCGAGTGCTGGGAACTGTATAACTGCTTCAACAAGAAATTGCAGAGGTGGTCTAAAGTTGTATTACTATTTGACTTGTAGAACTGCAATGGTATAAGCATTTTTTAAGGCTTTAAGTAATGCTAATAAATTCAATACAAAAGCTGTCTTACCGAATAAACAAAACTATAATCTAAGAGCTCTAAGGTCGGCGTTAGGCGTTCCAGTATAGCCTCATAACAGGCCTGGAACCCTGGGTGCACACTTGTCTCGTGGGTCAACTGATAATATGACTTAAACAGCACTACATTGACTTCCTTGGCAAACAGGGATTCCCATTCATCGATCACGTTTTTGAGTAACTCTGTGGAACTCTTCTGCTTCTCGGAGCGTATGAATTTAATCAAGGCGGCGAACAACTGATATACAGCCACAACGAAAAGAGAAGTCTGCAATTCAAAACAAAATTTATTATATAATCACTAACTGTTAATTTAAAAAAAAATACCTTTGGGTCTTTAAATTGAGCTATCGATTTGGAAACTGAGAGCACCCAAGAACTAAGACCAATACGAATGGCATCCCAGTTCTTTATGCTCAACTCGTAAGGGAACCTTTTTAAAACTTCAGTTAGAAGTTTTATAAACTCCACGGCATTTATAACTGATTCATAGGGTTGCTTGTATATTTCTCTGTAAAAAAATAATTATCTAAAACAAAGAAAAGAAATGACTGTAGTATCTTACACGTTGTAAAGTAGTAAATCCTTTTGACTGGCCTGCTTCTCTCCTATACTGGTCAAAAACTGCACGGCTGATACAATGATATTGCGATCTGTTTGGTCATTCACTTCGGCTTCGAAATTATTCAGGAGTAGAGCATTAAACACTGCTGCCTTAACCCAAATCTCCGGTGGTTCGGTTCTCATTATGGCCGAATTGAGACTGATTGCTTTTTGAGAGAGCTTTGGTAAAAGAAACTGCAAGCAAAGGGTATTACCTTATTTTTTTCTTGAACTTATATGAATATTCATACCTGTAGTGCCATAACATAGGTTTTGAGCGCTCCCTGCGTCACCAAAGATTCGGACAGATCTTCGTGCAGCAAAATGAAGGCACTCTCTTCGAAAGCTGCATATTGAGGACAAAAAGTAAAGTAACCCAGAAGTCGACATGCTATTACGCTGGACTGTTGTACTGCATCTTGCTGAATACGCTCTTTGACTATTCCAACCAGGTCACTACTATTGCCCATAAAGCTTTGAACTTTCTCCGACAGGATCAGCACTAGTTCCTCCTCCTTCGGCTGCAAATCCAACACTTCCAGCCAACTCTCAGCGATTCCAGCCACTTGAATACACTGAAGAAGTTCACCAATCAGGGGTTCGTTCCACTTTTTTAGCACATCGGCATTTGGATCACAATAATCCTCCGTCAATTCATCTTCAGGGTCGTTTGTTTCTTGAGGTGGAGGGAATTGGTAGACAAGCTTATATATTGTTGAAAAGTTAAGGGTGGAACGTCGAAGTATTGATAATATTACATTCCTGTCGAGGGAGGCGTTTTCAAAAGGAACTCCCGCACTGATCGATCCTTGCAAGGCTTCCAGGAGAACGCAATGGTTCTCAAACTGCTGTACCTTTTCAGATGTTTTAAGGGGGGATTTCAGAAGACTCTCTATTGTTTCATCAATTCGTTCAAAACGCTGGTTCTCATCCTCAATATTTTCTGTAGAGCAAATGACAAACTTGGCCATCGCCTCTGCCATACCGTCCAGATTATCCGCTTTAAGTTCTGACGTGCTAGCCAAATCCTCAACAATTTTTGCACAGCACTCCAGGAGGTCATCATTTATTTCTATGTCTTTACTAGAAAGGGCATCTTGCCAGCATGTGGTAATTTCCCACAAAGTATCTTCCGACAAATAGTCTTCTGGCCTATGCTCCAAACTGAATTTGAACAGCTTTAGGAAGATTTGCTGGCGCACTTTCAACGAAGAATTGGCGCTGCTGCATATCACAGGCATTATCTGGGCAATAAAACTGCCACATACTTCTACGGTGTCATCGACAACCGGCTGTTCCAGAGGCCCACACATGGCCAGCAGTATTTTATCCACAGTTTCAGCATTAATGAGTATGTCTCCCGTATCCGTTTGAAAGAAGCACTTATGAAGCAAGTTCAGCTTTTCTCGATCATTGTCCACCACAACCTCCTCAGCTATTCGCGCAATCACGCCACAAGTATCGGGCCCACTGAGCATTTGTCGCACAGCGGGTTCGGTGCACAGGGGATAAGATAGAAGACGATGGAGTAGAAGATTTTGCACGGCATGCTGGGGTAGCTGTGGAAAAAAATGTAAACTTAGAATTCCTTTAAGTTTTTTAATTTTTTGATTACCTTTAGGAGGGTGTTTTTAATGTATTCAAAGCGTTGATCCGCCTCCAACAGCGGGAGAATTTCAAAAACGATCTCCACAACAGATTCGCAAGCATCGTCGTTCAATTGGACCAGAAGGAAAACAAATTTATTAAGAGTTCCTCCTAGATCTCCGTCATCAGTTAGACTCTTGTAGAACGCGGCATCGGTAAACATTTTTGTTAGAATACGAATTTGCTCAATGTAACGAGAGGATGAATTGCCACCGCCACTGATCTTAGCCTTGTCCAGACAGATTCTCACCAACTTCACAACTAAATGTTTAAGCTCTTTTTGTATAAAGGCCGCAGCTTCTTGAGCCTTTTTAACTGGCGTCGATGGTTCGCTCTTTTCCACCTTTGCATCTTCCACAAACTTTACACTCGGAGACTCCAGGCTAGGATTGGCCATGTGCAGATCCTGGACTAAAAGCAAGACATGTGATAGTAGCTGCTCGTTTACTTCTTCGGCAGCCAGATCGTTAGTGACCAGCTCAAAGATTCGTGTCCAGAATAGATTCATCAATTTGGCATACAGTCCACCATTATCCGACCTATTGTTAATCTGCCGATCCCAAAAAGCCACTAGTGCAGAACTATGCTGGAAAAAGATTTTTACATGGGCACTATCACTCTTGAGCAGCCATCCAATAGGTTCCAGAACGTTGCTCTGGAGTAACCTAATGGCGAACTCCTCCTCTTTTTGTTCTCTATCCTTTTTGTTGTTAATTTGCTGCAGCAGAAAGCGAAGACACTCGAAATAGGCATTGTGAATCACAGTACAATCGGACTTGGGTAATGGCGGATCGAATTTTTCAGTGACTGCCAACTTCATGTCATCGAAGAAGCGCTGATAGAACTCGTAGATGTCAAGGTCTTGCAAGGAGGCTTGTGTGATTTTTGAGAGAAATGGCAACAGATTCGGGCAGATGGCCTGAGCGTTGCGATTGAAACCATTGCGGAGTAGGGACGATAGTTTTGGAAGAAGAGCTTTGCGTATGTTAAGGGGAACAAACCTGCAATTATAAATGTTAAGAATATAATTACATTATAAAATGACTATACTTGCCAATCTTCGTAGTTACTTTGTAATAGTAAAACGCATCCCCATATGTGAGGAGCCACCACGGGATCAGCGTCGTCTATAAACTGAAAGCAAAGGGTGGTCAGCTGCGACTTCTGAGTTGCGATTACTTCCAAAAGCGGAACCGATTGCAGGACGTGATAAATACACTCAAACCAAGCTGCCCTATAAGAATAATGGTGTTATAGTCATTATAAGGTAAATAACTTGTGAGTCTACAAACTTTATAGGCGGCACTTTGTGCTTGGCGAAGCTCCAGAACTTCTGGTGCCCCACTAAGGTGACGAATCCCTCCTTGACCTGTGTGAGTTCCTCCGTCTGCGCGGTTTCCTCCATAAAGAGGGATAACAACTTAAGACTGCTGATAACTACGCGCTGATACTTCTGTTCCGCCTCCTCCGGAGTAAGACTTTTCCCGATTGACAGAGTAGCGGCTGTGTGGAAGGTCAGATTCCGAGTAGCGTACTCCAGAATTTCCACCTGACAGTGCAGGCAGACTTCTCTGGTCTTGTTGGCGTTTCCAGCGAAAGTGTCTCGAAAGGATTGACCAGCGATGCTGGCTGCCGGAGCATAGGTATCGAAACGGCTGCCCAGCCAAACGGGAACCAGCAGCTTTAGGTACGGAGCCATCGCCTTTTTGCACTTCGCCATGAGCAGTTGCAGCACCGTCTGTGTCAGTTCCCGCACATTGTGCTCTGGGTCGCTGGCCAGATTCAAGTAGTACTTGGGCCACAGCGGCAGGATGTTCTTAAGAGCCTCTACGTCCGACTGTTCGATCAGTTCTTGCAGCTCCTGCAGGGCCTTTTTCTTGGTCATTGGGTCTTTCTTTGACAACTTCCGCAGGATAATCTGCGTTTGTGGACTGATGGTGGCGTCAAAGCTATCCGGCATTTGTTCGGCACTGGCGAATCCCGGAGCAAATGGCACCAGGCCACCGCCGTCTGTCTGCGCCGAGAAGCCCACGAAAATCGGCGTCGAGCTGCCCAGAAGCTCGGCAGTGCGGCTGCTGCTCGAGGGCTAGGAGGAGATGGGTGATGTTGCATGGTTAAATACTATAATTATGCCTTATTACGCCTTACCTTTGCATTATTTTTGGTGCGCGGCGCTTGTTTTGTCTTTCCACCCATTTCTCTTCTTCTTCTGCTGGCTCTTCTTCTTATCGCTAGCACGTGGCAGGTCTGGCAACTCCTTGACCACCATCTGGCAACATCGCTTCCTGGTATTTTAAATATTAAAAACCAAAACAAATAAACGGTCCCACTACTTTTTTGCCGCTCTGCACGTGTTGCAATTGTTATTATTTTACGAAGAAAAATGTCAAAGTTCCTGTCTTATTACAACCTGTTTCCTATACCGGATCCCAAGGAGTTCCTGGGACTGGCTTCAGACAGGGAAAAGGGTAATGTGGTGACAACTCTTGCGCGAAATGTGGTGGTGGTTTTAAATGTGAGTTTTGCTTCATAATAAAGATAGTTTACAAACAATAAACTCCTTTCCCTGCAGATCAGAACACAAAAGCAGTTACTTAGTTGGTCCCTACCGGAGAAGTTATCCTCCAAGGTCATATACGATCCAAGGAGCCAAAAATATGTTGGGGTTTTTGGGAATCACTCTCTGCGTCTTTGGGATGTGGATACCACTGATGTCGCCAAGTGTAAGAAGCTGAAGGTATGGGGCACATGAAATCTCTCAGTAATATTGCTTATTTACTTACCACTTTTTGCAGTTCCAAAAAAGTATTGCTCATCTGGTGGAAACTAACCAGGAAGTCTTGGTTCTCTACAGCGATGGCTATTGTCAAAACCTTTCCCAAGCGTTGGACTCTCGGAAAGATCAAAAAGAAGACACTGCTGAGCAGCTAGCCTTGGCTGCCAGCAAGATTATCAGCAAGCCCACAGTCAATACCTTGGCCGAGGGGCAGGAAGTGCTTACCTATTTTGAGGAAATAAAGGCCACAGGTGAGCTTCAGCTCATCCGCCTTTCCCTGACCACCGCCAGCCGGCGAAAGTACCTCATCAAAAGGGAGGATGTACGCCTTACAGGATATGCCGTCGTGGAGGGCGATGTGGCTCCTCAGTTGCTAACCATTTGTGAGTAAAAATATGAGAGCCAAATATCCTTTCCAGTATAATCCTTTATAATATAATTTTAATTTTAATAAATAATTATAAAATCTTATATTTGCTAGGGTCTGACAAACGTATCTTCATGCTGAATCTGGCGGAGCGTACGTCAGAGCGATCACCGGGACAATTTGTATCCATGCTGGCCGAACTGAACGTGGAAAGTAAACTATCCGTGCACGGAGTCTCTCGTAATTTTGCTGCCATATACGGCGCCAACTACGGACAAGAAGGCGCTTCGCTGTTGGTCTATAATACCCAGTTCAAGGTGGTCAACGCCAAGCAGTACTTCAAGGTTTACCTGGACTTCTCTCGCCTTTGGGCCGGCGATGAACACATTCTGCTGGCCATGGGTCACAATATAGCCGCCGTGCGTTACCAAATGAACCGAGATGTTCTAGTGGATATGCTAGGGTCCCAGTTCAGCGACACCCACCTCACGCCCATCGAGTTGGATCACATAAACGAGGAGGAGTATTTGGAGTCGGTAATCAAATTCGATGGCAGCACAAAATCCTTAAATTACGTGGCTATGAAATCCAAGTTAAATAAGCACTTACCAACGTTTGAGTTCCAAAAGGCAGATGGCAAGGAGTTGGCATACGAGCCACCCGAGCTAATGGATCAAGAAATCGATGAAATAATTAAGCAGCATGTCCATGGAGAGGCGGCCAGCTGCGAAAACGGGTTGGAAGACGTGAGTGTATCCCTTATGACAAACTTTTTTGATACGGGACCGAAGAACACAGCCGTCCAGGCCTTGGTCCGCCAACTGGAAAGAAGTGGAGCAGGCGAAGAGGAAATAATCGAGAAAATGTTAACACTTTTCATTAAAACCGAGAACACAGAGCATGTTCTGATGTGCCTGCGGCGTTACAGCAATATATCAGAAAGAATGTTAGCCTGGTCGCTGCGCTTTGCTCTAGATCAAAAAATAGTTCCGTCTCCTATCAATGGCGAAACCAAAGTTGAACCGATGAAGACGAATCAGTCGAATGACGAGCTGCTAAATGCAGTTCTAGCCTGCAGCTTTGACGCCAGCGTCATGGAAGAGCATCTGCGGCAACGACTGGATCTCTCCCATGTCCAGCACCTCTTGAACCACCTGTTTGACCTGGTCGATGATCCTAGCGCCCAACTAGAAGAAAGACCAAACCGGGACTCCTCGTCGGTTCACACGGAAGTTCAGGCCTTGCAATGGTTCGGCTGTCTTATGACTTCCCATTTCACGCTGCTAAGTATCTCCAAGGACAAGGCTCTGCTTGAGACGCTCTCTAAGTGGGCCAATCTTCTCTCTTTCTACGAGGATAGTTTATTCGATTTAGCCAATTTGCTGCCGCAGCTCACGAATATTATGGAGAAGCGCCAGGTGAAACCAATTTATTCTACCACGTGGTATGGCATTGAGGAAGTGGTGCTCTACTAGAAATATAATAAAGGACTTTAGAGTTTTCCTTAAGTTTGTTTCTTAGTCGTTAAGCCAAATAAACGTAGAATTAACATGATTTTAAAATGATTTCATATATTTGGATTTGGTCATGACCGAGTAGAACAAAACCCTTTAACCATTTTTACTTCATTATGTGCATTCAGATATTTAATGGGAATACATTCTCTTTTACACATTCAGGGAACGAATGAATAATTTACATTTTTACTCACTTTCGGTCGGGTTTTGGAGTTGAATATTTAATCCAAATGAATAATAGGAAATTTTGCAAATTCAAGGGAAGTTGGTTGATGGAGTTTATAAAATGAAATCAAAGAATTAACGCCTTTTTAGAAAATTACCATTTACGAAACGAAAGAATACTTTTGCATTTCATCGTGAGGATAGGGTAAATATTGTTTATAAAATAACTAATTATTTTTACTTTAATATTGTAATAGCAGTGATTGCCGTTGCTGTAATTAGGTATCGAAGTTTAATTGTATTTTCCATATCTCTAATATAATAAAAAAAATAAATTACTATCTTTGTTTTTGCTAAGAAATTGCATAAATTACAATTTTTATATATATTGTGGTTGTTGAATTAGGCTTAGTTTTAACTAGTAAAAATCTCTAAGTCCTTAAAATCATAGACAATGTCAAGCTAAACTAAATTGTCAACCAGAAGTTTCGGAGATTATACCTATGCACCAGACCACTTAAAGCCCATGAAAACCACGTCAAAGTGACCACAAAGTATGTTTCCCATTATCAAAACTGTACCAGCTGCCGGGTAAGATTGAACCGAAAACTTTTCCATCAATCGCTAACGATGCGAGCACATGCCACCAGAGCGACAAGTCGTTCCTTGCCCTCCATCTGCAAATTTGGTACACCTTTAAAAATATAGTGTAGTTAATGTTTTTATTTTATATGTATTCGGTTGATGCTAGCCAAGGGTAAACATCTTAATAAATATAAAATCCCCATTCCACCTTTTAAGCATATACTAACATGTATTATTTTCTCAGCAAAAATGAATGAATTTGAATTCGATGACGATTTGGTCTTTACATTCATTTAAAAAGTTCTATGAGAATAAAAATTCTTTCCATCTTTCGTTTGATACTTTTTTGTTTCCGAAATTTATTAAAAGTTCTACTGTTATGTTGGGCAATATTAGTTGACGCTATTAATTTGTTTATATTATATTAGGAGGGGGTTAACTTTCTTAAGTAAACTTAATTTTTATTAAGTAGGTTATTATCGCACTTTAATAAATGCATCAATGAAAACTTGTCATAAAATTAAAGAATGTTTTTTATTTATTTATTTGAAGCCCTCTAGTCATTTTATTACACTTTATTTCGATTAGTAGTACCGGCAATAAATAGTAAAGTGAAGAACCTGTTGAGCTGTATTAAAGTCAGTACTTCTTTTTATACATAAATACGTCGAAAACGTTCCCAGAATGTTATATTCTTGTTTTGATTTAAAAAAAAACCTTGATTTGTTTTCTGTGTATAAGCACGGCCCAGTGACAACCCACTTGGACCAAGTCCACTGCCTCTTTACCACTTTCTCTGCACCTTTCTTTCGAATCAATCTCGACGCAAACGAACCACTTGAGAGCGATGACCAGCCAAAAACAAAAAAAAACGAAGAAAATAATGAGCAAGTCAAGATGGGGTTTTTAAAAATAGCTCCCTCCACGGTTGATTCACTTGGGGAATTTGATTACGACGAGGGTTAGGGGCCATCGGCAGCATCGTTTTTTATGGTATTAGAACTGCGGCTATTCAAATTACAGGCGACTCGAAGGTAGCTCAGTGGTCATGTGGTCTTTTTGTTCTTGCAGCATTTCTCCTGATTGTAAGCCGAAGATTTATCGCGTGCTAGATGGGAGAAGAGAGGTATATAAAAACCTGCTTGTAACGTCATAAAATCGAGATAAATTATTTAATTTTCGATTTCCTAAAACCATTAAGCAGAAGAGCCCGACGCCTAGCTACCCCATAACCAAAAGCAAGTTGCCAAGTCATACCAGGAGACACAATCACAATCTGCTGGCCCTTATATAAAGAGTGGGTACATACGTATGTACATATGTATATAGATATATACTTTATACCTGAACATAATGATGGTTCGCTGCCGATGCTGCGCTGCCTCTGCTGACCGCTGGCTGCTGCTGTTGCTGCATCCACGGCCAAAGACGAAGGATATGGATGAGGCACAGACACACATGTTCGGGGTACATGCATACGCCTACCTGTGCTCAGGTAGCACGGCCGGTACAGGTAAGCAACTCTTTGGCTTTGCAAACACTGCCGCAGATACGACGTCCACAGATACAGATGCAGATGCGCGTTACTTGTTGCAAACAAACGTTAAGAGATGCGGGAACCGGCTGCCCCTGCCCCATGCTGGGCACCACCGGCCACATTTAGCAGCGTCATGATCATCAGGGCTCAGGGACTAGGGACCAAAGCCAACCGGACCGAGCCGGACAGGGATTGGACCCGAGATTGGTGCGTCTCTGAAGGTCTAAGTTGCAACATCAGACAGCATCAGGGATGCAGACTAAGGGTAAATCACTGTGACTACGAACTTCCTTTTTGATTTAAAGATAAAATAAATTAAATCATTGGGATTTTTTTGTAATAATCCTTGTCGAAGTTAACTTTAGTTATGTAAAAAATAATAATAAAATAAAAAGGCGTTAAAAATTATAACTTAAATATAATAAGTTTAAACAATACTCTAAACAAATATTTGGCAAATATAAATTTAAAAAACCTTTCAAAACATAGTTCGGAAATAATGATCGTTAGAAAATAATTAAATATTACAGACGTAACAAAAATAAGAACAATTATTTTACAATCAGTACAGATCTTTATGATAGGATAAAATGCAAATATTTCTCTATGTTTGAAATGAAATATGAATTACATTATAAGTTCAGAAACGGTGTTTGCATATCAGCAGTTGACTGAGATACAATGATAAAGAAAATTCCGATTTTTCTCAGAAAACATAATAAATCACTAAAGGAAAATCACCAGTGACTTGTTCTTCATCCCTGGGCCAATTGCAGCTGCCTGTAAGCTAAATCGAGTGACTTGGCACTTGGCTCTTGTGCTGGCATCCTTTGTCCCTTCCTTTGAAATGTTACTCTTTTTGGTTAATTTTTCCTACCCTCCGCTCACTCACACACTCGCATACAGATGCACCTCCATCACCAGAGTTGGGCCCACTCTTTCTTTTCCAATTCCCTGTTTTTTTTGTTTTTGATTTTTTTGAAACGACAAACCGGCCGGCATTATTTTTAGAATTTTTCAGTCAAACTTGTTACCAAGCTGGGGCGAAACTGGCTTCGAGGCTGCAACAAAAACAAAAACACCAGCGACAGCAGCCAGCAAAAATGCAATGATCTTGTTCCCATTCCACGTCTTTTGTCTCCCCCCGGTATAACCAAAAAGGTGACTTTGTCTCGGTCCCCCGCCTTATAACCATACAGCCATGTAGCCATATAACCAAGTATCTTTGTATCTGTGACTCGGCATTGTTACTGTTCTCTGACTTTTTAATGCCCAAAAACCCGACTTGTGCTCGAAAATTGTATCGATCTTGGCCATTTGCCGGTGGAAGTTCGGGTTCCAGTCAAGTCGCAGCCACCTTTTGTGTTCTGTTTTTGGCCCGTACGCTTTGCTCTTCCGAGCAGCATCATCATGATCTCGGTGATCATTATAATGCCGATGCCAATGCCGAACAGGGGGGTACAGTTTCGCTCCGAACTGAAAAGTTATCATTTTGATTCTCTCTTTTTTCAGAGGCTGCTTGCTTGATGGGTCTCGTCGAGTGGTCGCTTTCTTTCGGGTTCGCCTCAGATTTGGATTCGAGTTCAGGCTTTGGTTAATTTATTTTTTTTTATTTTCATTTCATTAATTTGAGTTTTGTTTTTAATTGAACGTCGTCGTCTTCGTCGTCGTTCTCGTTTGCGTTCTGGTTCTGGTTGTAGTTCTCCTCCCCAATCAGATTATTGACTTTTTGGGGTCTGTTCATTACCCATTCGCTTTGGACATAGTATATCTCTCTGTGTAGGAGATTATTCAAATTGGACACAGACAGAGGCCTTTGTCTAAGCCCAAACATGTTTGGTTTAATGAGTTTTATTAGTTCTGGCTCCGGCTCAATAGGCTTTTTCAGACGGAGAGGGTAAATATGGCTTAGACCATTGGCTGGCCATATGGTGTTTGGAGGGGTAAATAGCTCCCACCCCAGGGGCTTGGCTTGGCTCGGCTAGTTGTGCCAACTGGTTTCCATTGGATTATGTTTATTAACCTGGTCATTTACAGATCTCGGACAATGGCCATGCCGGGTCTTTGAATTGTGAAATGATCTGGAAACCGATAGAGGTCCAAGTGAATGAATGGATTCTATGGTTTTATGTTGGGGAACAAGTTTGAGGTCTTAAAGAACCTAACTGGGTATTGTGAAGTCTATACATGCTATTCCTCTTATGTAATTTAAACTATTACCAACTCTTCTTAGATAAGGTTTAATACGAAATGATTTTTATAAGTCCATGGTTCCTTCTGAATATTAATTAAACTATAATATCAACAAATATATATAACTATACGTATATATATAACATGATCTAATGCTGTTAATTTTAAAATTATACAAACATCTCCCGCAAAAATTTTACAATACCAAGCTGGCCCCTAAGCAATTAATTACCCATCCGCTGATAAGATCTCTGGCTAACGCTCGCCAGAGAGCTTCGGGCCCAGAACCTCACACTTTCCCACAATGGCCGCAACAGAAGGCAAACAAAACTTTTGACATATTTATATATCCATAACTGTGTGCGCAAAAAAGTCAAATATTTTCTCTGCACGTTCCCACCGGCGGAGGCAGAAAGGCGGCAAATGAGCAAGCCCCGACTCATCTCACGTTTGCTTGGCAGGCAGACAAATCGGGAGGTCGCAACGTTGGCAAACAATGCAAATTTCCAAACTGAAACCACTGAGTTGCAAGTGCAACAGAGACAGTAAGATATAGA